AAGTGCTACTGTCTGTCCTGCCTCACTGCTACTGCCTCCCACACTGTGATCCTTCATAATTCATTATGTTCATGTGTGTGTGCGTATGTACATGGCATGCACATGCATGAGGCCATACATAGGCAGACGTCAGCATCGGCTACCTTCCTTAATTGCTTTCCACATTTTAAAAAATTACGTTATTTAATCTATTTATTTGTGTGTGCGTGTGCGCCCGTGCGCGCGTGCGTGTGTGTGTGTGTGTGTGTGTGTGTGTGTGTGTTTTTGTGTGCAAAAGTGTGGGCACACAGACATCATGGACAACTTCCGGAAGTCAGTTTTCTCCTCCCTCCTATCATGTGACTCCCAGGGATGAGATTCAGTGGGTTAGACACTTTGACCACTGAGCCACAGCTCTTGCCTTTCACTCTGTTTTGAAAAAGAGCCTCTCTCTGAACCTGGACCTCACTTATTCAGCTAGACTGGCTAGCCAGCCAACTCCAGGGATCTTCCTGGTTCAGCCTTCTTACCTTTAGGGTTACAGGCATAAACCATAGAATCAGGGTTACCAACCAGAGCCCGGTGCTGGCTTTTTTGTCTGGATTCCCATTGGATCCTCAGGTTTGAATGGCAGGTGTTTTGTCTGGATTCCCATTGGCCCCTCTGCTTTGAATGGCAGGTGTGTTGCCAACTGAACGCTCACCTAGGCCTTCCTTTATCTATCATCTTTTCCCTGAAGCATTGGTACTCCATCCCACTGTGCCCTGCTTCGCTCTGTGCTGTCAGTAGCATTCATTCCTCAGCAGAGAGTTCACTGCTTCAGTCCCACCTTCAGTAATTTCCCTCACCCTTGAAACAATTGAACTACCACATCCAAGTCTTCGAGCTAATCTCCGTGCTCCCACTATGCTGAACCATCCTCCCCTAGCCCTATTCTCTCCCTCTGTACCCTGCACTTGAAGTTCCTTCTCAACCTCAGTTTCTAACACCCACCTAGCCCAATCCAGGTCCAGTGATATCCCAACCTACAGGACTCCTCAAAGTTCTGAACATGTACAGTCTCCCCTGTGCAGTGTAGTGAATAGATCCTGATTTGCACAACTGAAGCCCAGCCCAGCTGATGCATGCACACTATAACGACTTGCTCCTGGTCCAGGCTCAGTAGGCGGAGGCTTCCTCTATTGGTCAACAAATCTGCGTGAGGTTAGGGTGGATACATGAAATAATAGATCTGAGGTTGGAATTGGAAGAAAGGAAACCAGACCATTTGTTATTATAATAAAGGAAGCTAAGAGCACAGCTGGGGACGGACAATTCAGGACACGCTATTGACTGGAAAAGACCTCACATGAGAAGTGGTGACAGTCTCACATCTTTCCAGTAGCCACGCTTCTCCACAAACTGTAACATATATCCTTATCATAATTCTTTATAGATATGTTTTGTTACCCAGAAACCGTGGTTGTCAGGAAAGTCCAGGCAGGCAGACTGTCATCTAGACCTAGTAGCAATAATAGCAAAGCATAAGTAACTTTTGTATTATTTTTAAGACGTGTGGATTAGTAATTTTAAAATCAGTGGATTTGCTGTTCAAAAAAAGAGTTGAATCATCAGATATAAGATTGGAGTGGTTTCACAAAATATATGCAAAAAAAATTAAAACTGTTTTATTCCCCTCATTCCCTTCTTGAGGGCTTTTACTTTTTTACCCTCACCTACCTCCCCTGCCCCTAGACAGGGTTTCTGTGTGTCTTGGAACTCACTCTGTAGTTCAGGCTGGCCTCAAACTCACAGGGACCCACCTCCATGCCTCCCCGGTGCTGCGGTGTACACCCTTTACTTATGATTTTCTCTTAGAAGCGGTGTGCAAACGAGTCCCCAGAGTTTAGGGTCTTTGCTTGAAGCGCTATAAGCATCACCGCCGACAGATGCTTTTACAGGAGGTGGAATCTGCAGGACACAGTCATCAGGAGCAAACCAATAAAGGAAAATGTGTGTGCACGAAGATTCGGGAGGTGCTTCACAAAAGCACTCATCCAGGCCACCAAACCTGGGGTCCTCTGTCACACTTCAGAAACGTGTCGGTCACAAGACAGTAGAATCTACCTGTTCTCAGCATCCTTTCTCCTCGGCCTATTTTAAAGTCACTAGATAATTTCAGAAATAGGTATTTCCAGATGCCTTTTGAGGAACTTGGATTTGACCCTAGCCAGTCAAAAATTAATCAACATGGGGCTATAGGAATCGGTGGTTAAGAGCTCTTGCTGCTACCTATCGAGGACCCAGGGTTGGTTCCCAGCACCCACACATGTCTCTTGGCCATCAATAACTCTAGTTCTAGGGAATCCAACTCCATCTTCTGGCCTCAGAGGGCACCTGATACATGTGATACACCTAGTGTAGGCAAAACACTCATGTACATAGAATGAAAATAAATCAATCTTTTAAAAAAAAATCGATCGGTGATTCACTTGCATGGCTGGTTATAGTCAGGAGAGATGGACACCTTTCCCTCCGGTGTCTGAGTCACTTCTGTTTCCGAAGGCAGACTCCCAGCTTCCTCATTTCAACAGGAATTCCTTCATTTTCCGGTTGTTCTAAAATATTTCTAGTGCCAAGAGTTTCATGTATTAATTTTAACGGAACACAGCCTCTTTCTCTTCATGCACCAAGGTAAGTCTCACATACAGTTTTGTCAAGAGCTGTAGACTAAAAACCTGGTGGATGCAGAAAGTGAATACTGAATTTTCTTTTTCTTTTCCTCCAAAGTACCTAGTGCAGGATCTGTAAGCATGGCATACCCACACATACACAAATATGTAGGAACGCATGTGTTCATGTGTACACACAGTCTCATTACCTGCCCAGAGAGTTCAATGACCTGATTTTCCACGAAATGTGGAGAATATCAATAATACTATAGGTTCCAGAGAGTGGGAAGCCATGTTTATGCAATGGATGCTTAGTGTGTTGTATGTAGTAGACATGGGTAAACAGTTGTCTCAATAAACAGGTTTCTAGCTACTTTTAGTATCAATAAATCACGTCAGTCTCATAGTGTTACTGACTGGGGAAAAAAAAAACATTGTTTGCACAGTTTGAGTTTTTATTTTAGGTGGTCCTTTGTAATCAGTTTGATTTGATTGACAATGCCTATTTTCCTCCTTTTCAAAACTATGGGTGTGGCAAACACAATGCTTCACACTTTAATCCCCAGCGCTTGGAAGACAGACACAGGTAGATCTGTAGGAGCTCCATGGCAGCCTGGTCTACACGGCAAGTTTCAGACCAACCAGGTCTACATTATGAGACCCTATCTCAAAATAAAACTATCAATATACTTCAATTTAACAGTCTGTAGAGGTTCAGAGGTCAAGTAGAACAGAGCTTTGGCCATCTGTGAGATATAAAACCACCTTTGATCAGATTACCTGTTTCAGAACTTTTCCTTTCTCTGCTATAAAAATGAGGACAAGACCAGTGGGCTGCTCGTCAAGCAGAAGTGCTGCCAAGCCTGACGGCCCTAGTTCAAACCCCAACACCCACAGGATAGGAGAGAACGGACTCCCAAAAGTTCGCTCTGACCTCCACTCATGAACCTTGTGTGTGCACATCCCCAAAAACAGAAGGGGAGAGAATAAATAAATGTACAAATCGATACAGGGATTACATAAAAGAATGTGTGCAAAGTAATTAGCATATAATAGGCCCCATGAGAAATTAGATCAGGGCCGCTGCTCTTCTTCCCCAAGGAGACACAATCCAAGCTCTTGGAGAGCGCCTGTAATGACCATAAGCTTAAGAACACTCTTCAGGTACCAAAGCCCGTCATGACCCCTGAAGCCCTGTGTGAAGAGGGAACCTTGCTGTCCCGTCCTCGCCTGCCACCCCACCCTTCTCTCTGTCCACAATCTGGCCTCATCCCTGCTCCTCCAACGGTCACGATTGCCCCACTTCAGGGCCTTCTTGGCTGCCTTGTTCTCTGTTCGGGCTCTAGAATACTCTAGATCTTTCCCTCACCTATGCTCTCTCTGTCTCAGAACAATTTAAATGTCACTTAGCCCCACTCAAGATTATGTATATCTTTATGCTTCCTCGCTTGAGGTACCCAAAACTACTTTTTTTTGAAATAGTTGTCACATTCCTAATATTGTTTTCTCAACAACCAAATTGCGACACGCACCCCCACCCAAGTTGCATGCAAAGTCTTAGCCCCCAGTGTCTCAGGAATGTCTCTGTATCGGGATTTTTTAAAAGCCTTTTAAATAAGTGATTGATTTAAAACGGAGACATTATGATAGGACCTGACCCAATCTGACTGGTGGCCTTCCAATAAGAAATGAGGAATTGTGTGATCACTTGTTTTGGAGGACCAGATGGTCCCTACCCCTTTCCATAAGCATCTTTCTCTATCATGGTTGGCTGAATGCCTGTTGCCGACATCCTTCTTTCTTTTAGGTCATTCTCATAGATCAGGTCACCTCCTTCAAAAGAGCAATGTTCATCCCACCAGCTACTCAACCTCTTCAGTCTCAGACATCTACCTATGCATCAGCTCACTGTTTGACCCAGGCCTGTGGGGTCTGGCTTGGCCAGGATGAAAGCAAGAGGTCAAAGGGACAGATGGGAGAATCAATCTTTAGCATACATTCTTCATGGCTCTTTCAGAGCTCAGATCACAGGTACCTTGGGCTCAAGGTCCCTGTGAGCAGAGATGTTACTGGACGAATCAGTGCTGGGCTTCAAGTATCCTCTGTTGCCAAGGAAGGGAATTTCTAGGAATTGTTGGGCTATGGTTATTCTTCAGCTGTGAAGGCAGGGAGGAGTTGTAAAGGGTATTTCCCGTGGGCCAGCCCTTTATTCCTTTTCCCCCTCAGGTCTATAAATGGTTAATCTACCTGAGCTGGCAGGGGAAGTTTTCTGCCGTCCATAAAGTTTGGTTCCTGAAGGCAGATTTTTTTTTTTTTTTAAATCTAGCGAGTGTCAGATAATTGGAAGGGTGGAGTGAAGCTGCAAACCGCGGCGCACCTTTGTCAGGACTTGTTTTTGAAGCAAAGCGCTGAAGGAAACAGGAGGGAGAGAAGAAGCGAACATTTTTGAAAGATCACTCAGCTTTAACACACCTTGACTAGGTCTGGAATAAAAAAAAAAAAAGTGCCACCACAAACTTCTAGAAGAAAAGCATCCGAGGAAGAGAGAGAGAGAAGGCGTCTGCTCGAAGCTGCTCCAGCTCCTCCAGACTCGAAGCCAGGTGAGTTACAGGAACACAGCCTTATTTTCTTCCTCTGAGATTTTGGTTTGAGGCTTGCTTTCAATCGTAAAATGTTTACTGGAGAAAAGGTGAAATTCATGTTTGGTGTTCTGGTTGAAGCAGTTAATTGTGTGTGCTGCTTAGACTTGGTTTTTTAAAGGAATACCAAGGAAGATCTGTGTGTGGTAAAGAGGTCAGCTGAGAGCCAGTGGGCTCTCCCGGCAAGGACTTTTCTCGTTATTGTCAGTGTTGTAAAGTGACTCGTAGTAAACGGCTCTTGCAGGCTGGCATTCCCCCTCTCACTCTTCCACGGAACAGTGGAATCACTCAGGAGAGGAGTGCCAGTGAGTGGCTGCCTCCCAGGCGCAGCCTTAGCTGCCCAGGCCTCTGCTGCTGGAAAGGTCACATTAAGCTCTGGGGGCTAACAGACACCGGCTGTTCATCCTGTTATACTTCCCCTAAAAAGGAAAAGCAAAATCTTCAAATGATGTAACTGGTTCAAGAATTTTCTAGAGTCAAACTGGAAGGGAGGGAGAGAGACAGAGACAAAGAGAGAGTGAGAGAGAGAGACAGAAAGACAGAGAGAGGGTGGAGAGAGAAAGAAAGACAGAGAGAGGGTGGAGAGAGAAAGAAAGACAGAGAGAGGGTGGAGAGAGAAAGAAAGACAGAGAGAGAGAGAGAGAGAGAGAGAGAGAGAGAGAGAGAGAAACTGTTTCAATGCTTGTACTCTTTGATGGCCAATTTGACCTTTCTCTTTGCCCTCCTGCTCCACACCAGAGATCACTTTGAGTTTAGACTTTTGGTTCAGGTCTAACGGGACCACAGTTGAACTGACTGGCACATTGTCCCTTCACTTCTGAAGCAGGGAAAGCCTCTGCCGTCTCACTTCTCCCTAGAAGCTGTTACTCCACAGTCTAAAGTTTGACACTGTTACAGTTGCTTTCTGGAAGACCAGGCCTCTTCCTGGGCCTCTTCCTTTCTCCCTCTGAATTCTTGGAGCTGAAGCATGGATCTGAGTGGAAACTAACCCAATATTTGTCCATCTGCTGATGGACACCCTCAGAAAATTAGGGGTTCTACCTCGCTCTTAGACCTTGCAAAATACCACGTGAATCAGACCATCATGTACCAGGGTCAGATCCAGTGAAAAGCCCACTTTAAATCTGCAGGAAAACTCCTTTGATAAGAACAGGCCTAACAGGTTACCAAACACAGATTGTAACCAATGGAAAGATGTCTGTCAGCAACGCCTGGCTTATTTGCCATCATCAGCGGCAGAAGCCACAGTGGCCAACGCGCTCACATAATGACAAGTCAGTATCTTATCTGTGGTCATAAACTCTAAGGTGACCAACCAAATAAGCAGTAAGCTTGCCTCTGAATGTTGAAGAGATTAAACCCACGATTGTGAGTACCAGGACCCTGGTTTCCCTGGCCCTCAACTTGCTTAGCTCCTGTGTGCTGTCAGATAAACAGTCAAGGCATGATTTTTCTCATTCTGCAGCAATTTCAATATTGCTTTATTTTAAAATTTACAGTTTATAGAGATTGGGGTAACAAAAAGCTTTAAAAAAAAATACTTGTGATTCTTTAACAGAACATAGGAGCGTTTGTTCCTAAGATTAAAAGCTAGGAATCAAAATGTGTATCCTCACTATTCTCTCTGTCTCAAGAATGGGTGTTACATGCATCATTAGAAGATAGGTCAAGGCCATCGATTGCTGTCACTGACCGAGGTTGGTCATTATTTGTATGTACATCAGACCACAGCCCTGTCTGAGCAGTTGTAAGTGGATCTGACACCATTCAAATAATATGCAAAGGAAAAAAATACTTATCAAAGTAGAAAACTGTCTTCAAATTTTGTCTTCATACATAAGGAAGTCGCATGGGGGTCATCTGGATATTTAAAAGAAAAACATATAAAGCAGTTGCTAATAGCAGTAGGTGGGCATGTTCTCACTCATGGGGAAGCAAAGAAATGTTGACCTCATGCAAGGGGTGAGAATGGTACTTACTAGAGGCTGAGAGATACAGGGGGATGGGAGGAGACAGAGGCTGCCTGACAGCTGACAAAATATAGTGGGTGAAGAACTGGTTCTCGTGTTGTAGAGCACAGGGTTCAGTAGAACTGAGTTCAGTAGAGTTCGCAATGATTCGTTATGTATTTTATAAACAGCTAGAAGAAAGGTTTGTAGGTACGAAGATTCTGAGAAGGGTCTAAGGAATCGAAACGTTATTTACCTTGGCTAGGTCATTGTGTGTGTACCTACACCGAATCATAGCATACACATTGACTACATAACTTGAAAATACATCTGAGAGCCAAGCATGGCAGCAGATGCCTTTAATTGGGAGGCAGAAGCAGGTAGATCTCTGTGAGTTCAAAGCCAGTGTGGACTGCACAGCAAGCTCCAGGCCAGCCAGGGCTGCATAATGAGACCCTGTCATAAGTAAATAAAAATAAACTAATGTCAGGAAAAAAATTAGAGATGGAAATTAGTATAACTTTGGAATTAAGAACTTAAATGACCCATTCTTTCTTGCCAATGATGAAGCAGCCCCAAAATTCTAGGAAGTTAAGAATTATGTTAGTTGACAAGGCTTCCATTAAGTGGTACTTTGGGAACTCCTGAACATAGCTAGGGCTGCCAGGAATGGCAGGCTTGGGCATGAAGCCGGCCGAACTCTCTTCTCCCTGATGTTATGCTTTTACAAAACTAGAAGCTCTTAGAATGATTCAGACAGAATTTCTGTGAGGAAAAAGCTCTGTCCTGGGGGACAATCCTAGCCCAGGTCTGTGTCTTTACCCATCATCCTCCAGGTCTGTGTCTGCACCCATCATCCTCCATACAATCAAGAACTACTCGTAGAAAGTCTCTTCTTACCTTTGACTTAAATAATCCATCTCCAACCCATCCCTGCAATCTCCAGCCATCAGGCCAGACTCAGAAATGCATGGCTATAACATAGCCAATGTTAGAGAGGCTGCATGCTAAGGGAAGATCCCACTCACCTGGGGCAGGTTCTACCCACGTGCACTTCCCACTGAGGAACTCAGGGCTAAGAAATAGCTCAAAATCAGGAAACCCAGGAAGCCACAAAGCAGCTGTCTCTTTGTGCCTTGTGGAAACTAGGGAGATTATGGGCTTTTGCTGTAGAAACAGATTTGTCATTAGAATTCAGAGAGTAGATGAAATAACACAATAATAACATGCCTGTTATTGTCCTGGATACAGAAAATCCAGCAGAACTGGGCAGGGTTAGCTCCCAGAGACTGGACTTCTCCAAGCTACCACATACCTGGCTTCCCAGCTACCAATAAAATCAGCCAATCCCATCAATATCATAGAAATATCAAAAACGATACATGGATAGTAAGATTCCAACGTTAAGATTATCAGTAATCCCAGGGTAAATTTCCTATAGATTAAGTACCATCCTAGACAGCTAGTCATCCCCCTAACCAGCATCAAAGTGTACTGAAATGTCGAATCCCCTCAGTTGCCTCCTGGTTCATGGCTAATGGTCAGTTTGAAGAAGAATAGTGTTGGTGGTAGTGTTATCAACCCAGCAGAAAACTGCAGACTATTGACTGAGACTATTAATTCTTAAACTAAGGATCTTAAAGAGGACACCCATCCTCATAGACTGGCGTGCGCCATCCTATAGGCTACTGCCAGAGTTCCGGTGTGGTCACCAGCCAGCTCTTGCCTTTAATGAGGGCAGACTCCCTTATTAGGCTGTTTATGAAGCTGTTCCTCTTAGCTCCAGGAGGCATGCCTGTAAAGACATTCTGTGGCCTCAGATGCAGAGAACATTTTTTTTCCATGATGCTGCATTCCTTGTCTGGAGCTAGGTTTAAGAGACACCGATGAACAAGGAGTTGGCACACTCAGCCCGGCCCTGAAGCTAATTCTTGCCAGCATTGGCTAATCCCACCAAGTCTCTGTGCTGCTCTCATTTTGTCACAGCCTCAACCAGGAAGTCACCTCAGGCTACACTATGACTTGCTTAGATAAGTCTGAGACATTTTTGCCTTTGTGGGTCCCTTCCTTCATTACAAACAAAACAAAAGGCCTCCTAAGAAAAATATAAGCCAGAAGAGACCACATTTATTTCCATTCTGAGTTTAAAAGAAATTAAAATAACTTTATTGTTCCTCCTCAATACACACACACACACACATACACACACACACATGCACACACACACAACACACGTGCACATGCACACACACCATACAAACAAATAAACAAAAACCATGTCTTGGGACTGGAAAGACAGCTCGTCAGTTTTTAGGGACTGGTTGTTCTTCCAGGGGGCCCAGGTTTGATTCCCAGCACTCACAACACAGCTCACAACCCTCTGTCACACACACACATATACATACACACACACACACACACAGACAGACACATACACACACACACTCCTGTCTCAGAGGATCCCACGCCCTCTTCTGGCCTCCACAGGCACCAGGCATGCATGCAGTACACAGACATATAGGCAGACAAAATATCCATACACAAAATTTTATAAAATGACAAAAGCCATGTTGTAGGGTCCAATAACCCCTGTGTCAGAGCAGAAAGAGAACCGGAAGCCATAAAGCAGGTGAAGGGTGCAGGGAGAGTTGAACAAGGGGCAGAGGTGGCTCCAGTGTCTACAATGCAGGCAGCAATGCACCAAAGATAAAGCCAGGGATGAGAACAGGAGCAGGAGGGGAGCACCATGGGGAAAGTGATAAGTGAGTCCTCCCACAAGCTGGTACTGAGCACCCTGGCAAGAAGAGCCCAGTTGGGGAATCCTTCCTGTGAGCCTTCAGCCTGTGGTCTACCGTCACCCCTTGTTATCCCTGCCTGTTCCACCTGAGCTTAGGAATGCAGCAGCCAAGAGCCTTTTCCTTCCACAGTAGAGTGAGAATATGGCTGTTGGTTCGCATTGTCCTGCTTGTGTCTGCTTGTAACTCTCCGGGACTAGTTCGTTATGAGGAGCACACTGCATACTTTGCGAACTGTAACAATCTAGGCAAGTGTGCGTGTAAATTTTATCCAGCAAGCACTGGTCTCACACTCAAACTCTGGCACAGCTTAGAGGTCACATATTCAGAGGTCCACCTAGAACACAGGATGCTCGTGATGTGTGTGTGTGTGTGCCTACGTGCGCTGCACTCATGTGCAGGTGCCTGTGGAAGCCCAAAGTTGACAACAGGTGTCTTCCTCCACAACTCTCCACTGTATTTACGAAGGCAGGGCCCCTTGCTGAACCTGGGACTTGCTAACGAGCCATCTTGTCCTAGAGAGCCCCTGTCCTTTGGTGCCTCTCAAATACTGGAATTACAAGCAGCTGCCACACCCACCTGGGTTTTGTGAGGGTTCTGGGTGGTCTGTGTTTGTCTCCCAAGCATTTAACCCACAGAGCCCTAGAACATAGAAAGGTGCAAGGCACATGCAAATGCACCCAACAAAACCCCACTGCCTCACAACCCTTCAGTCACTCATCACCCCGACAAAGCATAGATGTCACAGTTAGACAGAGGGCAGGGTACTGGGCTGCTGACGCCCTTGGAGGCTCAGTGGAGGGCAGGCTGTCCCACTGGATTCTAAAAGGGGTAGAGTATAGAAGGGAACTATTGGGCTTTGTCTGTTTCAATCCACGACCAGAGTGGGGGCTGGTGCCTGTACAAGATGATATGCTGGAGAGTTAGCCTTTGAATACTAAGAAACGGGTTTCTGATTAGCTTGACTCTCTCTCTCTCTCTCTCTCTCTCTCTCTCTCTCTCTCTCTCTCTCTCTCTCTGTGTGTGTGTGTGTGTGTGTGTGTATTTGTGTCAGGTGGGTGCTAGACTTGTTAAAAGCAATGGCTTCTGTTCCTGCAGGTGGCTATGGGATGGATGTGACCAAGAAAAGCAAGAGAGATGGCGCTGAAGTCATGGAGAGAAGTAAGAGCGTCCAGATTTCTTTTACTCGGAACTATTTTAGCTCATCTGAAAACAGTGTCCCTCATCCTAAGTCCACCACCACTGCTGTGACTCATGGAGCATCACAGAGAGACTCTGCCCCCTCTCCCAGGAGTGCTCCTCTCAGTCTTTCACATGCTTATAATTGAATGGGTCTTGCATCTTGTTTCCATTTCTGGGCCCCCGGGGTGTGGCTCAATGCAGGACCACCTGCCTAGTGCACCCCCGCCTAGCGCACCCCCGCCTAGCGCATCTCTACCTAGGCTCAGGGCACGATCCTCCATACCACAGAAAATGAAAGAGAAATAAATACAGGAAAGGAGGAAGAGGTAGGGGAGGAGGGAAGGAGAGGTAAGAAGAGAAAGAGAAAAGGATTTTCCCCGCTATGTAGGGTTATTATGAGTAGAATTTTAATACATGCCTAATCTCATGTGGTTTAATGACTGCCTAATTCTCTGTGGCTTATGTAGCTCTTTCTCTCCCTAAGGATATAGGACAATAGAAATCTAAAAGTATAATATCTTAGGCCTTATAATACGGGACTGACAGGAACTGGTCTCACCATCCAAATGTACACTAAAACCGGAAAGTAGATACACATACTTTGTGGAACTGCCCAAGTGTCAAATCGAGGGGTGTTTAAACTGTCTCTCCAGCAACTCTAAATTAGGAAACTTTTTCACTCATTTCCAAAAATAGCAAAAAACTCTGGCTCCACAGACTTGGAAAATAAGTTATTCTTATGTGTCAAAAAAAAAAAAATCCCCAAAGGCCTGTACAATGAGAGGTTACTGGGAGCTCAAGGGCTGTTATTCAAATGGAGCTGCCACCTTCTGTGAAGAACCATCTCCTTATATGTCTTGACTGCTGTTTCCACTGCGTTCATAGTCCTGTGGTCTGGGGCAAAAGAGAACTGGCTGGAAGCATGTCGTGTGAAGAACAGGGATAGACAGACAGCATGGCTGGAGCAGGTGCCAACCTCTGGCTTCACGAGGCACAGTGGCCCCAACCATCTCCTTCCATCCCTCCTCCCACAGGCATGTGTGCATGCACACCACACTAACACAACTGTACACATGTGCACATATACACAGAAAATATCTCCTCCAAAGACCAGTGAGGGCAAGTGAGATGGCCCAGCATGTAAAGGTGCTAACCTGTTGGCTACATTTGATATCCAGGCCCCATGTGGTAGAAGGAAAGAACTGACTCTTACAGATAGTTCTTTGATTTGTCCATGCATGCTGTGACACATGCATGCCCACACACAAAGCGGCCACAGCCAGATGAGGCCCCAAATGTCAGAGAGGTAGATAGTATTGATGACCACAGTCAGACAAAAGTTGGCCCTTGTATGGCTTTGGGAATCCATTCCAACCTCATGTTACTTCAGGGAAATATCTCCAGAGGAATGGGGTCCTGCTTCTGAATGGTGTTCCCTCAGATACACAAAGCTGTTAGCATCTCTGTATACTTACCACCAGTTGACACTAGAGAAACTACGGCGAGCGTGATGTAAGGGGACACTCCTGAAGATCTGCCCCTGGGATACATGCATGGCGCATTTCACTGACCTCAGACGTGATCTACTCAGGCTGTCCTTCCTGTCCACATGAATGCCCTTGAGGGTTGCAGAATGAAACATGGCACCCTAGAGACACCTCCAACTTCATCAGGACATACAGAGTGAGATCCGCCAGGTCTTGGCTCTAGCTGGCCTCAGCGTCTTTGGGAAGGAACAGAGCAGAGATAGTATGTGAAAAGGGAGGCTGGCCCTCATTCAAACTCAAAGCTAGGCCTGGCTGGAGCAACCGGCGGGAGGCCTTGGTGCCAAGACAACTCATTCTTCCAATCAATGGAGAGCTTCCTTTGGCACCAAGAAGAAATTTTATATTCTACAGACATTGAGCCTCGCTGTTGCTGTTCATATTTTCAGACTCTTTGTCATAAGACACAGCTTTCCTTAACCTTTGTTGAGCGTAATGCTTAACCATGGCAGACACCAGGTCCCGCCAAAACCCAGCAACTCCAGCACATCCCACAGTGTCTCCTCTTCCCTTTCTCTTTTTCAGTTGTCACGGAAACAGTAACGACAAGACTCACATCCTTACCACCAAGTAAGTGGCTCTGCGTTAGTAGGTCCCATGTGAAGGCCCTAATCTGTGATCTTGAACATGAGGGTGTGCTTACCCACTGAGCAAATCTAAACCCTCTGGAATATGTTCTTTTGCTAGCAGCTATTCTGAGGTTGACTTATACACAACTAGCTACCAGCTTGTGCTGTGTGGTTCAGGGTTGGAGTATACAGCAACTGCTTGCCAGTCTAGTTTAAGGACACTCCCGTCACTTCCTCTAATGAGCCTTCTTTCTTTCTTTCTTTCTTTTTTTTTTAAAGATTTATTTATTTTATTTATGAGTACACTGTAGCTGTCTTCAGAGACAACAGAAGAGGGCATCAAATCTCATTACAGATGGTTGTGAGCCACCATGTGGTTGCTGGGATTTGAACTCAGGACCTCTGGAAGAGCAATCAGTGCTCTTAACCACTGAGCCATCTCTCCAGCCCCTGAGCCCTCTTTCTTACTCACAGCCCTGACCCATTCTTCTCTGCTCTCCCTGGCCCCTAAGAACTATGTCAGCTGTCTATCTTTATGGATTTGCTATTCTGCTCAGTAAAATACTGGAAATCCTAATCCTCCGTGAGCACTCCACTTTGGGTCAGGACTTCCTAAGCATTGCTGGGTTCTAATAGCAGAGATCCAGCCGGGCGGTGGTGGCGCACGCCTGTAATCCCAGCACTTGGGAGGCAGAGGCAAGGCAGATTTCTGAGTTCAAGGCCAGCCTGGTCTACAGAGTGAGTTCCAAGACAGCCAGGACTACACAGAGAAACCCTGTCTCGAAAAAAAAAAAATAGCAGAGGTCCAGGCCCCTGGGCCCTGATGGGCCTTGGAATAGGGAGGACCCATCCATCTATGGCCAGAGCAGGGTGGTAGAAGCAAGTCAAGAGGAGTCCAGAGTCAGGGCTGGAAAAGTGGCTCAGTGGTTAAGAGCACTGGCTGCTCTTCCAGAGGTCCTGAATTCAATTCCTAGCAACCATATGGTGGCTCACAACCATCTGTAATAGGATCCGATGCCTTCTTCTGGTGTGTCTGAAGACAGTGACAGTGAACTCATATAAGTAAATAGATAATTCTTTTAAAAAATAATAAAAAAATTAAAAAATTAAAAAGAGAAGCCCAGAGCCACCTCTGGTCCTTCCAGCATTTCTAGCGGCTGTTGTTCAGGTCTAGGACCTGACTGGGCATTTGCAAGAGGCAAGCCCAGACTTCATCTGAGATGGAGGAGCTCGGCATCATCCAGCCGCCTTGGCTAATTTTCCTACCAAATAGCTTTCCAGAAAGTTCTCGTTCACATTAGCAGGACATCCACTCCAGACATCTGTACTGAAAGTAAAGGGGGGGAGCTTGGAATTTGGAGTATGGAAGGAGAGAGACCCCAGCCATCAGGATCCTGGTGAGAGGAAGGGAAGGCTCTCACTGAGCAGAGGATGAGAAGCCCCTCTGACCTGGCTCCACCTTGAGGCTGTCACCTGCTTTTGCAGAAGGGAGCACCAGCAATGGATACGCTAAGACCGGTTCTCTGGGTGGAGGAAGTCGGCTAGAGAAGCAAAGCCTGACGCACGGCAGCAGCGGCTACATCAACTCAAGTAGGTGCACATTGGTCTGAGGGGCAGGGTGATGGACAGAGGTGAGAAACAGTGAAAACCCACCATCGGCAGTCAGCGCGTAAGTGGGACCATTACCCTGTCTGCCGCTCACTCCACGCCCCCTAAGAGTTACCCAAAGGACAAGGGAAGGTAGGGCTGGCTCTCGGATCATCAGCATTAGACACCTACATAAAGTGGGTTCAGTTTTCATTAGGTGCCCAGGACAGGTAACATTCAAGAAACTCAGCCCCTCTACTTAAGCCACACCTTTTAGGAAAGGCTGTGCGCGTTTAAGGATTACAGTCAGATTACCAGCAATGCGTGAAGAGTGACGGCTGAGTCGCTCTGCTGAGAGACTCTGATGACATTTGTCCTGTGCTACTGTATTCCGTTGGGCGAGCACCCAACATGAGCCTATTGTTCCTCGAGAGGCGATCTTTCACGAGAAAGCAAAAGAAAGTATGACAAAAACATGCACGCGCACATCAGCAGCAGCCCTGGAAGCCACTAAGACGTGGGAGAGAAAATAAAAACAGAATGGAACATTCAGATGGGCCCACCCAGCGAGTTAGAATTCAGTCCCTCTGAGCAGGGGTCAGTGGTCCAGCATCAAGTCAACTCTATGGCATACTTACCATTTCCATGTACCCTGTGTGTGTGAGGATGTCCTATCTCTCAGTGTCTGCCCCCAAAGGTGTTAACAGTCACCCTGCCTTCCATTCCTTTCACAGTGTCCCCTGAAGTCCCCTACCCCTCTCCCAGGCCCCTCCCCCCAGCATCCAGGGGGTTATTTGGTTAATGCCACTGTGTTTTGATGTAGTGGGATCATCTCTGGTGAGGTGGTGCCCCGAGGATTTACCCTCTTTCTCACTTGCAGGCGGAAGCATTCGAGGCAACGCTTCCACCTCCAGTTACCGGAGAGCTCACTCTCCGGCCTCTACCCTGCCCAACTCTCCCGGCTCCACCTTCGAAAGGAAAACTCACATGACCCGCCATGGAACTTATGAAGGTATTTGATCTCTTCCTGGTGTAACTTCACTCATTCTGCGTTTGTTGGCATCTTGGCTTCTCGGGTGTCTAACCCCCCCCCCAGACACTTGCATCTACACTGTTGGAAGATTCATTCATTCATTCATTCATTCATTCCCCTTTCATTTTTTCCCACTTACTTCTCAACTGACATGTTATCATGTTTTACACTGTACTAAATGCCTTATGGTTCTCGTCTTCAAGGATATGATCTACAGACAATTGAAGGCCATAGAAAGAGTAGTAAGTCCAAGTAGGTGGAGCTTTCTGTTTTCCACTAAGGAAGTCAAAGATGACTATGGAGGTGGTGCTTGGCCTCCTAGTGACAGTCACAGACAGAAGGACAGGACAGTTCAGGATGAGGAAAGCTGTGGTGTACAGGACAGTCCAGGGCTAAAACAGGATTTGGAGGCCCAGATTCTGTGCTAGGTTTAGACTTTACGTTTCCACATAAGAAGACACAGAAGTCTTTGAGCCAAACAGTGGGATATATTTGAGCCCCAGAAAGCTTGTCACCATGGATAGGTGACAAGTTAAAAGGAAATCCTCAATAGTGGAGAAGAGAAAAATCTAGTCTGGGACTCAGTGGAGAATGAGGGCTGAGAGGGGTAAGATAAAAGAGGCAGAGTTGGCAGGCTTGATGAAATGGGAGGAAAATCTGGAAATAGCCATCCCTAGGGTTTCAAATGCAGATTGGGCTCCTGGTGGTGTCCACAGTTGAAACAGGAAACTCAGGAGGAAGGCCCTACTTGGGTGAATTCTGCTAAGAGAAATCTCCTGAATCACTTCCAGCTATGGCAGCTCACACTGCTGTAGCTGGAACCCCTACCCACTAGGAAGTCTCATGGAGGTAAGTAGCCATTTGTACTAAGTGGTCCATCTCCTTTCCAGGGAGCTCTAGTGGCAACTCCTCTCCTGAATATCCACGAAAGGAACTCGGTAAGCTCTCTCCTTATTTTCCAGCAGAATGTTTTAGTGATATGCGCACGTGTGCGTGAACACAGACACGCACACACACACACGCACGTGTGTGCACATTCCAGAATGGTGGGATGCAGGGCAGGGATACCAAGAACCAAATGGCTTCTAAAGAGCTTGGCTCCTGCTGATTTGCTTTCTCCTTCACTCTGAAGCATCGCTAAGGGAGTTTGCCAGTCATATTAGCTTGCTGTCACCAGTTCATGACAGCATTAAAATGGTAAGCTGTTTATACAAGGTTCATGCTAGGACACGCAAGCTCCCAAGGCCAAGCAGGGATCCTTCCTTCCATGGGCTTCACAGAGGCCTGCCACCAAGGAGGGGCAGCAGGCTCAGTGCACAAACGAAGACACCCCCATTCCTCCTCCAGAACTCCCTTCCAGGGACCCCATCATTCACCTGGGCCACCCTAAGCTGTGTCTTCACTTGGCCTTAAGTCTTTGGTCTGTATTCTTTGGATATCAACGTACAGATGAGTTGGAGTTACATAATTATTATAATTTTCTATATTTGTTTACCTTGGGAAAACCAAGGCAGGCCTTACTAAACAAATTAAAGATTTAGCAGTCTTTGGGTCCATTTGACAATGTTTTCAGCTGGTCCAAATGCATCTCACACACACACACACACACACACACACATGCGTATGCGCACAGGCATGAATGAACCACACACATACACCCTATCTCAGACACAGTGCCCTAAGCATTAGCTAACTCAACATTTGCTCAGCTAAATTGCACTGACATGTTGCAAAATCATTATTTACCCTTCAACATCTGGGAAACACTTCTTTAGCATCTGCTATACAGAACCTCTCCCTAACCCCCCCCTCCCCAAGCCTCAGTCTAGATTTAGACATTTTGAAAATATCTCCAAGTATCAAAAATATTCAGCATGCCAGAAATATGCCTAAGGCCATATTTTTCTCTTTCTCAGCCTCTTCTTCAACCAGAGGACGAAGCCAAACACGAGGTGAGTACTCCCACTGAATTCAGTCCAATTCACTCTGAGCAGCTAGTATGTGCCAGCCTGGAGCCAGAAAGCTGAGCGCTGAGGAATAAGCAACACGTAGCATCTCCCTGAGGAGCCTTAAGTACTGACAGAGTCTTGGCCAACTCCAAAAGCATGGGAAGGGGGTATCTGATGATGACCTAATGAGCTCCAGTGACAGTCTGGGCAATACAGATGTCACATCTGCCTTCACAGCTACCCCCCACCCAAGATGTGCTTTAATCACCATTATATGGCAGGATAATCAAAAGCCCTCTTTTTCATATTATTGCAAGGGATAATTTCATAAAGTGACCATCTAAAATTGATAGAAGAGAGAGAGGCTCTAGGAGAAGCCACCCCAGCAGAGGGCAGAGTGACCACAGGGACCTGTGTCAGGCTGTGTCTCGCTCTCATCAGGAGCTTAAGTTCGGGCTACACCAGCTACCCACAGCTTTAGGATGATTGCTAAGACGCCCACTCTAGCCCAAGCTAACACTCTTAGGCTGCTGGCTTACGGACTCCCTGTTCTGATGACTAGCTGAATGTTAGAGGGTTTAGATTCTCTTGCCTGTACCTTAAGTGAGCTGGGAGGCAGAAAGATGCTGGATTCTGACAACTGTGAAGAGGGTGGTGTGAAGAGGGTGGTGATAAAGTATCTCGGGGCCTCCCTGCTCTGCCTAGGCTCTCATTAAGTCTCAGGTGCCCAGGGGTGCACAGTTGGTAAGTGGAGAGGGGAAGAGACATCCCCTTTGTAGCAACACCCAGGTTTCCTGGTGAAGAACTGAGAAATCACAAAGTAGCCCAGTGAGTCATCCTGTGCTCAGACCTCAGGGTCCAGGGCAGTGATATAGACTCCTTCATCCATAGTGCCCTTATCTCTTCTCTCCCCTTGTACAGAGAGTGAAATCCGAGTTCGGCTGCAGAGTGCATCGCCATCCACCAGATGTAAGTGGTCACTGTCCTACCACCATGAGAGTGTCTAGGAAACAGAGTAAATCAGATACTGGTGCAGCACAGTGCTGAGGACTTAGGGGCTATTGTGTTTTCTCTCTCTCTCTCTCTCTCTCTCTCTCTCTCTCTCTCTCTCTCTCTGTGTGTGTGTGTGTGTGTGTGTGTGTGTGTGTGTACCCACATGTACTCTGTCATCAAACATCCTTGAGGGCTTCTTGGATGTGGGCCCCTGGGCAAGGGTCTGGAGCCAGGTTGCTAAGTAAGCCATGGTCTCTGATTAGTAGTTCAGAGTCTAAAGGGGAAATGGAAAACCACTCAACACCCATAGCTCAGTGTGAAAGGGAGCACAGCCCAGGGAGATGAAGACAGAGGCAAGGGCCACAGAAGTCTTCCTGTGCTAGGGTTGACCGAGGAGAAACTGAATGGTGGGTCAGGGTTAGGGTCAGAAGGTATAGAGACCTAGCTAGAGACCTCCCAGGCAGTTCGCTATGGAGTCCCAAAGGGAGGGTTCAGATGAGAGAAGCTTTAGGAGCCAAAAATGTGGGTTTTAACTTCATCTCCAAGGTCAGTGATTCACCAGTCTCTGCACACTGGATACTTTAGATCCCTCTTGCCCTTGTTAGAGGCTCCTTGGTAACATTTTGAAATGATCCTGACTTTTAGGGTGAGAACCAGGGACAGGCATAAAAGAAGGAAGAGCTGGTATGTGGGCCTAGAACCCCGAGCAAGGCTGGCCCCAGAGCTTGAAACCTGGTCATAGGATCTGACCCTGTGTCTAACCCTTTCTCACCAGTCTTTCCAGGCTTAGAAATGTTGATCTCAATGGATGGAACTTTCTGGGGAGAGAGGCAGGGCACTTCCCAGCACCTGCTGTCTGTCTCTCTGTGTGCCTCCTGCTCATTGTCCTGGCCTGATACCCCCTTCCTTCCTGTTGGCCACTCTGAAGGGACACAAGGACTTGTTCTATTAGCTCACCTTGTTACAAATAGAACCATCAGGATGGACCTGAAACTAAAGCAGATATGAATGCAGACACAGTGTAATGTTTAGGAACATAATAAGTCCCCTTGGCACTGGCAGGCATACCTGGTCATCCAAGGCTCCACAGTCAGGAGACCACAGTCAGGAGAAAGACAATTGTTAAGCTAGTTTCTTAAAGAGCCTAGCTCTCTAATAGCCCCAAACCAGATAGACAGCAGTGTCTTCCAGGCACAGTCACCTCTGTGGTGCCTAATGAGGTCAAATCAGAAAATATCTTCCAAGGACTCGGAGCTCCTGTATTTATGACTCTGCTAAGGTTACAAACGGTCAGGTTTATAACAGTTATAAATCAGCAAAATTTAACATTATAAAGCTAACGGAGAGTGTCCCCACATATGAGGCAGATGGTAGCCTCTCTCATATCAGAGGGCCATCAATATCCATTCCCTGATCTTTGGACTTAGGAAAGGGTGCTGGGCCTGATGGGAGAGTCTGGGGTTCTCTGCAGGGACAGAGCTGGATGAGGTGAAACGTTTGCTCAAGGGGAGCCGATCCGCAAGTGCGAGTCCCACCAGGAACACCTCCAACACACTGCCCATCCCCAAGAAAGGCACCGTGGAGACCAAAACGGTGACAGCGAGCTCCCACTCAGGTAAGCGTGGGGACAGTGTGGCAGGTGTGCCCTGAAGACCTTTCAGCTTTGCCAGAATTGGAAAAATACTGAGCACCTGCTCTTCCACACTGTGAAGATCTGGGTGGGGCTTTCTCAATTCACCCGGTTGGCTGTCTTCTGGGGATGTGGTACCCGACTCTAAATCTTTGAGATCCCCACCCCACCAGCAGGTTCTGAGAGTGCTAGATGTGTTGGTCAGGTTCCCCGAAAGAAGACCGAGAAGAGATTTGTAGTGTTTTCATCATCGGGAGTGAAACATTTATCCTGTGCCCACGGTGTGTCAAGCCTTGAGAAAAGGCTCTGAACTAGAAGGGCACAGTCGATGCCATGGAGGAGAAAGGGTCGCTGGGAAGTTGAACAGGATTCCAAGAGGCTAGGGTCACAGGATGAGGAGTTCTCAGCACCCTTATGGAGTGTGTGTCTTCCATGAGAGAAATATTTCTTCTTTGGATGACAGAAAGAGAAGTTAGCAGAGCCATGGACAGAGGTGAGGAAAGAATTGACATCTGTGCATGGCGATTTCCTACTGTTTCTGGGAAAGTCTTGATACTGTGACATTCCTTGTGTGACTTCCCTATAAAGCCAAGCCTCCAAGCATGTTAGCAACGGTCTGGCCAGCCCCTTCTCCCGTGTAATAGGCAGAAATAGCATCATATTTGAAGATCTGTAAAGAGCCCTGACAGAAACAGAGTGCCTTTGTGTCTAGTTGACACAGATGCTTTAATGAGTATCTAAGCAAGAAGGCTACTATGATCAAGGAGTTATTATACCTGGACATTCCTTTGTCAGGTCCATACCCCACATTTGCTAAAGATGACTAAAAGTAGCTCCTGAGTGAACTACCCCTTGGCAGCTTTGAAAATGGCAGGGCAATAAAGGAGTTGTCCCCATTGGTGGAGACAGGTCACCAGGAGATAGAAAAAAGAAGCTTAGAAGACATAGTGAGTAGACACTAAAGCAAAACTAATATCACACTTCACCAAGAACTGGCAAGAATTTTGTGATCTAAGAGATCAAATCTTGTTCAGTCAAAAGTAGAATGACTCGGTGCCTCAGGCTGTCCTGAACTGAGATTTGGGAACTTCGGTGCTAAAGTGCTGGAAAGCCCTAGCAGGAAAGAGTTCAAATCTCTCCCAGTGAAGTCTGTGTGTGTTTCTGTTCCCAGTGTCAGGAACCTATGATTCAACAATACTGGACGCCAACTTCCCCCCCCAGATGTGGTCCTCCACCTTGCCTGCAGGGTCCTCCATGGGGACCTATCACAACAACATAACAACCCAGAGTACTTCCCTCCTCAACACCAACGCCTACTCAGCAGGATCAGGTAGGTGTGACTGCAGACGCCCGTCACACCCAGATGGGGACAGCCACAGCTCTACCCTGCCATTGAAGATCTCCCCTGTTCTGTGCCATCCTGACGGCCTCCGGGGAGGGTTTTTCCTGGCCTAATGGCCAAAGCCCATTCATTTCAACTTAATCAACTAGATTCTAGCAGGTATTTTTTATAGAATGAACATCCCAGATGGGATATCAGGAGAAATATAATGCAAAAGAAAAAAGATCAGAAAATCATGTATCAATGAGCATGAACTGATTGTGGGAATCTTGAACAATTCAATTAATTTTCCAAGACCCCACTCTATAAAATGGAGCCACTAAGAAGAGAGCCATTAACGGGTTCCACTTGTCTACTCCAGGTCTGGCCATCTAAAATCATCTTTGGCTAGGACCTGAGGTACCACAGACTAGTGTCTGGCTCTCTGCATCAAAGAGAGAGAACTGAATATTAAGAGTTCTTTCTTCTAACAACAAAAGTGTAACAGGACACATGAGCCAGATCCCACAGTTTTTTTCTGACACTCCCACAGAGCCACAGGGCTTTTGCCTTGCCCTGGGCCTTACAGACACCTGCTTTCTCTTTCCCACTGCAGTCTTTGGAGTGCCAAATAACATGGCGTCCTGCCCTCCCACACTGCATCCCGGACTCAGTAGCTGCTCCTCAGGTCAGAGCCTGCCACCTTGTCACCTTGGTTGTCCCCTTATGCTATGCTGAAAAGAATTTATTTGTGTTTATTTCGTGTGGATGAATGTTTTGCCTGCATGTACATTTGCTCACCGTTACTGTGAAATGCCTGCAGGGGGCAGTAGAGGGCACTGAAAGCTACATCAGTTAAGGCAATCAGGACAATCCCCTCAGACGTGTCCACAGGCCGACTCAAGGTAGACAGACAGTCCCTCACTGGGAATCCCAGTGATTCCCACTGAGCGTTCCTAGGCTACGTCAGATAGTTAAGTGGACAACCACAAGCCATGGAGGTCAACTGGAGCAAGGATTTAGCAGGGTGTGGTGATACACGTTTTTAATCCCAGAACCCCAGAGGAGAGACAGGTAAATATTTGAGTTCAAGACCATACAGATGTACAGTGAATTCCAGGGCTGTATAGAGATATGCTGTCTCAAGGGGGGAGGGTCTTCAAATAAACCACTTTAAATAAATCTTAGTGGTTGTTTTTATGGTGTGCCACGCAGGCCATTGCCTCTGTGCAGACCTAGGTAGGAGCAGGGGAAGAGACAGGTGGTGATCAGTACCTACATTGAACTTGCCTGCTCCTTAGTTGGAATAGAAAACACCTAACCCGTAGGAAGCAGTAAGAGAATCAATCCTGTAAAGCAACAGGAGTTAAGTGAATTTGTAAAGAGTAAGGTCTAAGAGGACTTCCTGAAGGAAGTGGGCTTAAGAACTAGGAAAAGATAGGAAATTAAGCCCCACACTGCTGAAGAGAGTTGGTTTCATTTGCTTCCTCTGGGCTGATCAGACGGCTCCCGAGCCACGTTCCCAGGTTGGCCAGCTCATTGGTGCTATCCCGCAACATATGGTATGAAGAAGACATGCTGTCTAAAAAGTGGGTGGGGCACGGGGGGACGTTACGTGCTTGAGTCAGAAGAGTTGAAAGGAAAAGTAGAGACCTGCCATATTGATCAGCCCGTGGGTCTGTATGGAGTTCCCACAATGTGTACCCACTAGCCACAGTGGACAACCACAGGCTGTGGTAGCCTAAGGAAGAGCCACAGGGATGGCAGGCTTCAGGATTTTGAGGGAGGTTAATATTTGGCAGACCCTACGTGAACCGCTGCTATGAAAATACATGGCTCCTTCTCTGAGACAGTGACTAATAATGTTTATTCTGGGTGGGAGATGACCACGTTACTACATTACTACGAGCAGTGAAAACCAGGAACGTTTTACAGTCTGCCACTGGCAAAATGTTTTCACGAAAAATGACCTGAGGGTCTCCAGGAGGCTTCCAGCTCCCAGAAAACGTCCTTACCTCCTCTCTGTCTCTCTCACAGTGTTTGGCATGCAGAACAACCTGGCCCCCAGCTCTTCCGGCCTCTCCCATGGCACAGCCACCATTTCCACAGGTTGGTAGCGCAGGTTTGGAGCTTAGAACTGGGTGGGAACTGACGGCCCTTAGACGCTACAACCTACAACATACCGTTTTACAAACAGTTAAAAGGACTAAGTGGCCTTTTTCCACCAATAAAACAGCCCTCCCTCGGAGCCTAGGGAGGCCAACCTTTATCCCTCACCGGCTCTGGTGTGAATTAAACACACAGGGAGCCTGTGAACCCAACACCTCCACCCTGCGACTTCTAGCTCCCATGTATCTCTCAGTCCAGCTGGTCAGGCCAGAGGTCTCTGGCGATCACCACACACTTTTCTGCAGCCCCCTGCCACTCAAATAAATCTTAGTGGTTGTTTTTACAGTGTGTCACCTGGGCCATTGAGCCTGTGCAGACCTGGGGTTAGAGCAGGGGAAGGGGCGTGGTGGTGATTAGCTCTTGCATCCATCTTCCCTGCTCCTGAGTTGGAATAGAAAACACCTAACCCACAGGAAGCAGTAAGAGAATCCTGTAAAGCAACAGGAGTTAAGTGAGTTTGTAAAGAGTAAGGTCAAAGAGGACTTCCTGAAGGAAGTGGGCTTAAGAACTGGAAAAGATAGGAAATTAAACCCCACACTCCTGAAGAGAGTTGGTTTCATTTGCTTCCTCTGGGCTGATCAGACTCCTCCTGAGTCACATTCTCAGGTTGGCCAGCTCATTAGCGCTTGCTTTCTTTCTTGCAGCGTACGGTGTAAAGAAAAACGTGCCCCAGCCACCCACTGTCACCAGCACCGGTGTGTCCACCTCTGCCAGTGAGTACTAGTACCAGCTTCTAGGGCCAGGTTGACATGCAGAAAGAAGTGCCTGATATAACACATGGTATCCTGGAAAAGAGGCGAGAACCCATGGGTGGCCTGGAACACACACACACAACTCAGCCCAAAGGTCTCATGGATGTTTCTACAGAGATAAGCATTGTCTTGCGTTCCTCCCAGGAGCAGGAAGCCCCACCCCCAACACCTCCCTACTGTCCCTTACACTCCAGCACCACACTTATCTGGGAACTGCTGGCTTTCTTCTGTTACGTGATAAACCTACAAGATAGGTTTATCAGAGGCAGGGAGCCCAGAGAAGCTGCCAGCATCTCAATGCTTTCTATATAGAATCTTTATCAACTTGAGTTCACCCCCGTGGAATGAGCTATTCCTTCCAGTGCTTAGATCCTGGTGGGTCTCCCCCTAATCAGAAATTTACTCCGTCAAAATAAAATTTTACTGAGTACCCACTGTTGAGTATCAGACAGTTTGGTTTCCCAGGTGTCAGGGTAGCATGTGGACCAGACTCTTGGGGAGAGCAGGACAATGCCAGGGTGACGAGCAGATGAGAAAGACACAGTACGCCAGTCAGTTCCAGAGGATGACGTGATTCCTAAGCAAGCAAGTGGTTGGGGTGGACATGTCGTCTGTGTACGAGAGAAGAGAGCTTTAGCAAAAGCTTGCCCTGGATGGTAGCACAAGTCTACTAGGTTAGTTTAAGAAGGGCCTGGCTGGTGGAAGAAACTTCTGCAAGATCAAGAAAGATCCTGTGTCTGCAGGTAGGAAGATAGCCTCATAGACCAGTCATCCAGCACTGCTAATGTTGGTCTAACCTCATGATGGCCAGACCTAGCCAGCAAGGTGCTTCATGGTATCACTGTCTAAGAGACCATAAGCACCCCCATACACACTGGTGAACCTCCTTTCCTCCCCCCTCATCCACTTCTGTCCTCTCCAGCCTGCACCACCAGTGTCCAGAGTGACGACCTCTTGCATAAAGACTGCAAGTTCCTGATTCTGGAGAAAGACAACGTACCAGCTAAGAAGGAGATGGAGCTCTTGATCATGACCAAGGACAGTGGGAAGGTCTTCACTGCCTCCCCCGCCAGCATCTCTTCAAGTAAGTCAGAGCGCAGGTGGAGCGGGTGGCATGGGCTTCAGAGATCCGGGAGGGCCAATATTCTTAGAAGGTGGTTTGAACGGACTTAGTCATCAAATCACAGGGATCTCATTTTGATGGAAAATAACTGCCTGGACCTGCCTTGAGTACAGAGAAGCCAGGAAAACTTGGGAGCTCCCACAGGGAGTCTGTGGGCAACAGGAGTCTAGCCACAGCCCCCAGTGAGGGAGATTAACCCAGGAAAATTGGACTAACTTCCTACCAGACTAACCTTGGTCTTCCCAGGGAGCGAGGGGATATGAGCAGGCAGGGAGAATGGGGAGAGACTAGACCAGATTGTCACTGGTTCTGTGCACAGCTTCTTTTTCAGAAGACACTCTGAAAAAAGAGAAGCAGGCTGCATATGCTGCCGACACGTGCCTCAAGGCGGATGTGAATGGTAAGACGAATCTGACCCCACCTACCCAGCTTCAAAGAGGCCGCCTCTCATTTCTACTTCTTCTGGGACCATAACACTCCACGACGTGGGGTCAACTGGCGGTACCCAAGAGTGTTAGGAACTTAGAACCCAGTCCTCCTCAGACTTGCTGGGTGGGAAGAAGCTGCAGCTTTAATGTGGGGGTGCAGTGGGGGGGGTGCATGTTTGTAGGGGTGCATTGTGGGTGTACATGTGGGAGGTCACATGTGGGGTTTACTACATGGAGGTTCATGTGTATGGGGTACACATGTGGGGGTGCACATGTATGAGGGTGGATGTGTGTGGGTACACATGTATGTGCCTGTGTGTTCTTCCACTCCTCATGTTCAGCTCCAAACTTTTGTATGTGCTTTTAGGAGACCTAAATACCGTGTCCACAAAGAGCAAGGCCATCTCAGCAGGTGAGTAAGAATGGGGGACACCCCCCTCTGTAAAAGGATCTGAGGGGCTGGCCAGGGTTAGTGGGCAGATGATGTCACACATGAGCTATTCAGACCTGGACTCCTAAAGGCCTGGCAGGAAGAAGGGTAGGAAGGGAGTGGACAGCTGAGGCCCAGGGTAACCACAGAGTCACAAAGATGATGTTTCACAGGCTCCACAACTCCTAATTGTCAGCCTGTATGATCCCTGAGGCCCAGAGTCTCCTGCTAGGGTAGGCATAACAGGACAGGCTCAAGATGGTGCTGTCCCATGCTTGCTCCAGCCCCCTGCAGTGTCTTCACCTCCTCCTTTGCCTTGGGAGAGAAGCTCACGGAGTTCCCATCGCCCTAAGAGAACCGCCAGCCTTACCTTCTGAAACGTGTTTCTAGGTTCATGCGTGGTACTAAGTGTGATTCCATGGTGCTGTCAGTGAGGCCTAGCGACCAGAGCGTGTAGGTTTAGGCTAAATCAGACGAAGGTGTTGTGACAGATGTTTGTGACTCTCAAAACAATGAAGATGTTTTAACCCCTGTGCTTTGGGCTGAGTCCTCCAATGACTTCATTTCATAGCCAGTTTGATGAAGCAGGTTGTCTTTGAACCTCATTTTATAAAGTGCCAGGGTCACACAGCTGAAGCCTGGGGCTTTCAGACTTACTCTCCAGCTGTAACCCTCTGTTCATGAAAAGTCCCATGTAAATTCAAATCATCCTCCTCCTCCTTCCTCCTCCTCCTTCCTCCTCCTCCTTCCTCCTCCTCCTTCTTCTCCCCCTCCTCCTCTTCTCCCCCTCCTCCTCTTCCTTCTTCTTCCTCCTCCCTCCCCCTCCTCCTCCTCCCCTCTCCTCCTCCCCCTTCCCACATGAAGTCACCAATTTTGAAGGGAGATGGGAAGGAGCCTCCTGAATTCAATTCACCTTCCTCTTTCTTCCACAGAAAACCATAGCTATGACCGAGGTGGCGGCAGTGGCAGAGGCAAAGGCGGAGGAGCCGGTGGTGGTGGCGGTGGCGCCAGTGGCGGAGCATGGGGGGCTGCACCTGCCTGGTGCCCCTGTGGCTCCTGCTGCAGCTGGTGGAAGTGGTTGCTGGGCCTGCTGCTCACCTGGCTGTTGCTGCTGGGCCTGCTCTTCGGCCTCATTGCTCTGGGTAGGTGTCAAGGCCACCAAGCCTAAAGTCCCCAGCCCCTCTACCCCTTCCTAGCGATGGGAAACCACGGGTGGTCCTGAGGGTTGGAGCCACTTGGCTGGAGATTACGGGCAGAAACCCAGTACAGATAGGAAACAGCCCCTCGAGGCACCTGGCCCAAGTCTTGAGATCACTGTGCAGAACACCAGGAGTCTAAGATCTTGGCTTTGCCCCAGGCTCCTGCACTGATGGCTGTTAATAAGGCCACACTGCCCTTTGGTCTTTATGCCTGAGTATTTAATCTCTTTCTTTCTACCACCTCTCTAACTCCCAGAGGAAGGAGAACCAGTTTCCGGTGGTGTCAGGGCGGGGTTCCTTGAGGTTCAACAGGACGTTGGCCATTATTGCCCACAAGGGTTGTCTCTGCATATGTATTGCTGAAATATGTAACCAGGGGTGTGAAGAAGCGCCCCAGACCCAGGGCCCCAGGGCAAGTGCCAGACTCAGTCCTCACTGGTGGTCCACGTGTGTCCCTCACAGCGGAGGAGGTAAGGAAGCTGAAGGCCCGTGTGGAGGAGCTGGAAAATACCAGGGTGCTGTATCATGACGTCAAGACGGACAGAAGCAGCAGGGACCGCCTCCAGGCTGAGGCCCCCAGCCTGGGACCTGGATTAGGCAAGGCTGAGCTGGACAGCTACGGTCAGGAGGCGATCTGGCTGTTTGTAAGGAACAAGCTGAGGACGGAGCAGGAGAACGGTGAGAGCAGGCCAGGACACAGGGCCTGGGTGGCCTTGTGCCTGTCCTGGGGACACTACTCAGCCTCTCTCTGCCTCCCATCCTATCCCTCCATCACGCTAAGAGGCAAGACGGAGCAGGCCTGGAATCCCCTTTCACTGGTGGGAAAACTGAGTCCAGGAGAGATTCATTGTTCAAGATCATTGGAACAACAAGGGGGCGGGGGTTATATTTGTAATGGCTAGCCTCTGCCTCTTCCCACCACCCATCCTGTGTGTGTGTGTGTGTGTGTGTGTGTGTGTGTGTATGTGTATGTGTGTGTGTATGACTCAAGATTTGCTTTTTCTTGTAGGAAATCTCAGAGGAAGTCCTGGTCCAAAAGGTATGGCAGTGGCCCACCCTTCCCCCTGTTCTCATTCCTGAAAGGGAGGCATACTTCCCTAGGATTGGAATCTTTTTTCCTTTGTGTAAATGGAAGGATGTGGGTAGGACCTATCTGCCTGTCTGTCAGAAGGCTGTGAGTTGACTCTGCAGTCAGTCAGACCTCACAGCTGGGTTGGAAGCCTAGGCACCACATAGGAGAAGCCTAGTGTCTGTGCCTGGGTGTCTCTGGCAGGGCTGCAGGGACCCGCCCCCTCACCGTGATATGTGGCTCACATGTTGCCAAACATCTGTGAAACACGGGTGTGAAAGTGGTTTTTGGTTATCACACGATCTCACAGTGTCGTCTTTCTGATTTTAGGCGATATGGGGAGTCAAGGACCTAAAGGTAAGTATTCCAAAGACACCTTAAACACTGGGAGGTGAGGGTTAAAGCAAGCAGAAAACCCCTCAGGCTGAGAAAGGCAATTTAACCAGCTATAATCTATGCCTGCTAGAAGAGGTTCCCAATCCTATTGCCCCTTGCCTCTCTTGCCTAATTTCACTGGGAGACTTATCAACTGGTGTGGGAAGGAACTATCCAAAGATTCTGGGCCCTTCCCAGAGTCTCTGATTAAGTGGATGGACCCAGGAACCTCCTGTCTTTATCACCTCAAGGGATTCTGCACCCAGGGGTGCCTTCCCTAGGAAGCACCATTCCACGAGAAGGGTCCACCTCTGTCCTTGACCCTGTTCTACCTCATTCCCCGAGAGATCCCAGGCAGGGACTTGGTTCTCCTTTGCCAGCCCTTCATTCCTATTTGTCTCTACACACCTCCAACTTCAGCACACACCCTGGCTCCCTAGCCAAGTCTGCCTCCCCAGGCCTACAAGCCCACACTCCTCCTCACCCTGCCTAGAACGGGAGCTTGGTGGTTCTGGAGTCCCCAGCCTGATGTGTACAGGACTTCTGAATGCATTTGAACTTCAGGAAAACATCCAATTTTCACTATAATTATGTCTCAGACAGCTTACAGGGCCTAAGGACACAAAAAAGGATTTGTGGTTTTAGCAATTTGAATGGAACTGGATGTATCTGCTCCGGAGAGCCCCATGTGAATCTTGCTAGTGGCTCCTCATGGGACCAGGCCAGGTTCTCCATCTGACATCTCCTTTTCTTTTGTCCCCACAGGAGACCGAGGCCTTCCTGGGACACCAGGTGTGTAACCTGCAGTGATCTCTGGTGCTGCTGGCTTGGGTATATTCAGTCCTAGCTGCCAACTTCAGGAGGAAGCACAGGCTGAGATCTTCTTTTATATCCACAGGTATCCCTGGGCCCCTGGGCCACCCTGGTCCAATAGGACCAAAGGGACAAAAAGGCAGCATTGGTAAGAGCCCCCTTCTCTAACGTTCATTTCCTCCTTTCTCTTTTCTTAAGCATTTATTCCGTAGATCCTGTTTTAGAAGACAGCAGTAGCTACAACAGAGAAAGACATAGAGTTAAATAGGAAATTTGAAAAAAGAGAGGGCGCAACAGGCACACACCTAGGGACACGTTCAGAGAAGAGGGGGCAACCAAAGCCAAAACCCCAAAAGGTGGATAAAGGGGGCTGGAAGCTGAAGAAGCAGAAGGGGGACCCAATGGCAGCAAGCCACACATGGCATCAAGGCAAAACCAGCACGAAGATGGTGAACTGAGAAGGAACTTACAGATTTGGGGCAGAGGCAGGATGTCAGGTGCCCACGGGGTCACTCTGGTCCTGGGTTGAGCAAGGCTTCAGAGGAAAAGAAACAACAGAGGCCTAGAAGAAGCTCTGGGCCATCGTTCTGCTGAGGAGAGGCTGTCTGCGGGCTATGGTGCAGACCCCTAACTGTGAGGTTGACCATTCCCACCTTTAGGCGATCCTGGCATGGAAGGACCCATAGGTCAGAGAGGGCTAGCAGGCCCCATGGGACCTCGTGGTGAACCTGGGCCTCCTGGGTCTGGAGAGAAAGGAGACAGAGGTAAGAGGTGATGTCTACACCAAGAGGGTTAGTTGCATCCATCCATCCTCTCTCCGGTGTCTGAGCACTTGCAGAAGAGGATAGTGGGGAAGGTCTGTGCTACACCCTGTAGTCACTAGTGAGGAAGTGTGGCCTGGCTGCCAGGGTCTGATCCAGGCTGTGACTGGGGGCTTACCCAGAGAGAAGTAACCTTCCCAGAGCGGGTAAGGAACAGAGCCAGGTCAAGGTGGAAAGCAAAGGTAGGGTGAAACTGGGGACTTCCAGCTTCTGGGGTTGAGACTCAGTGAAACAAAAGGCAGAATGGCTGAGTCAGAAGACTAGAGCTTCAGGAAGCTGGGGAGGTTTGAACTCAGCTCCTTAACCATAAGACTGATGTTATAGGAAACTGAGCAGGACCCTGGGAATCTTTTGGTGCCCCTCCCCCTCAAAAGGTTGCTCAGGTCAGGTCACTGAGAATTGTGGATCCTCTCATGTATTTATTGCGCTCCATCTGGGTGCCCGAGTTCATGAAGGGCATCGCTCATGAATGGCCCCACCATGAGAGGCACCAAATGATCACTGGACCATTGGCAGACTGGGAAGCCTCCCTTCCAAACATGACAGCCATGGTAGGAGTTTCTCAGCATGTTTCTTCTGTTTCTCCTTAGGGATTGCAGGAGAACAAGGTCCCCGGGGGCTTCCTGGTGTCCCAGGCTCTCCAGGTCTCAGAGGTATGTCAAGAAGACCAACCCAAGTTTTCATGGAGGGGTCACATTCAGAGAAGTAGGTCCTGGGCTTCCCAAGAGTGTAGGTTGGTAGCCCCAGATCTGCACGAAATAGCCACAAGTGTTCTTCTACAAAGGAGTTCTGGTTGTCAAGACTGGGCTACAATTTTGGCTTTATAGCCAGGCATGAAACAGGTCGCTATTTCTGTTCAGTGACACATTATGTGACACTGTTGAGAAACCAGGTGAGTTCTGCCTTGACGAGGACCCAAATACTCACCCAGAGTGGCGGCCTCCCGTCTCCACCCCTCATCAAGATACAATGTCTCAGGAAGAAGCAAAGCTCTGTGGACCCTGCCAAGCTGGGGCTTCCCCACAAGGGTCAGGCCTGGACCCTCTGGTGTTCTGTCCTGGGGAGGACCCATCTGGCCCTTCAATGAATAAGCTCCTTCAACTTCACTTGCCCTTCACAATAGGGCCAGTTGTCCCAGCCAGTACTTGGCCTTCTGATGATTGTCTCTGTCCTGTTTCTCAGGTCCCAGTGGCTCTCCTGGTCCCCAGGGGCCCCCAGGTCAGTGTGCTGCTTGTAAATACACGCTGCTTCTGTGGTGAAGAAAGGGATGTTAAAGGGAAAACCAAACATTTTTGAAAGCAAAAGAAGTGACTATACGAAAGCTTCCTGGACACACAGAACGGAAGTCCCCAGTGTAGCCTGTGGCTGAGCTCATGTATCTCAGGAGGTTCTGTCCAAAGCACTGTGGGACTGGTGTCAGAGCTGAGACCTTCCAGCAGCCTCACCAACAGGAAGCTCCCAGCCTGCCTCCGTCTTGTCCCATATGCATCAAATAACCCATCCTGTTACCCTGACAGCCTGAGCTGCAGCCAGCGTCTCTGTCAGCATACTTGGGGCATTCTAATGTCTGAGCCTGGTGACTGGCAGGGACCAGTGTGGGCCAGCAGGAGCATAGGGAGATGAGGGAGTCCTTGGGGAGCAGCCACTGACTTCTGTTTCAAGGTGGATATACATCTATGTGTATTATGGGCTGCCTGGTTTCCAGCTCTCCTCTCAGGGTATCCAGGTTCAAGTGTACATGTGTGTCTAGCTCTTCCAAAGATGGGACACTCACCTAACTATATGTCCTCCTCTGTTGGGCAGGCTCTGTGGGTCCCCAAGGACTCCAAGGTGAAGTGGGACTTCCTGGTGTCAAAGGTAAGCTAGGGGACGAGCAGGAAATAAAAAGCATTTTGTAGAGACCTCTCATTCAAGAAGGTCTAGGGACTTCAGGGTTCAGAGAGGGTCTGACGGACATGACCGCAAGCCTCCAAGTGCAAGGCAGGGAGATGAAACCAGCATGGGGTGGGAAGCTGTCTTTAGAGACAGACACTGGCCCTTCTTGGCCATCCCCTACAGGGCTTTCTACACTAAGGTACCTGTCTCCCTTTCAGGTGACAAAGGACTCATGGGACCACCAGGACCCAAAGGTATACAGTTCCCGCTGCTGCTCAGCCTTCATCGTGGTCTGTTCTGCTGCTAGACGCCCAGACACAGCCTGTGTACAGGGTCCAAGAGCACATATGGCTCTAGTTCCTGGGCCCTGGGGCCGAAAAGGAGCTGCGAGCTCATTCTTCCTCAGCTTCTCAGAGAGGGAAACTGAGGCACAAAGAAGGGAAACAAAGTACCCACCTCACATATGCATTGTTGGGTGGTCTTCACAGTGGTGAGGAGGCACATTCTGAGGTGTCTGCCCTCTGGTCTGGTCCTCCCTGTGCCTCGCCACAGCAGAGGTTGTCGGGGAGTCGGATTGTGGGTGGATCACGAGTGGACTGGCTCCTCTAACATCATCAGCGACTGACTCTCCAGCATCCTGCTGCAGGGCTCAGTGTCATGAATGGAGACTGCTTTCCTTGCTCATAATTGATGATTCCCCCCCCTCCGCCATGTTTCTTTTAGGTGACCAGGGTGAGAAAGGACCCAGAGGCCTCACAGGTCAGTCCTACCCAGGAATTTAACGTATTTAGGACCTTTTAAGACTTAGCAATCGCCGGGCAGTGGTGGCGTACACCTTTAATCCCAGCACTTGGGAGGCAGAGGCAGGCGGATTTCTGAGTTCAAGGCCAGCCTGGTCTAGAGTGAGTTCCAGGACAGCCAGGACTACACAGAGAAACCCTATCTCGAAAAACAAAACAAAACAAAACAACTTAGCAGTCACCAGAAGTGGGACAAATACAGAAGGATGAGGCAGAATTTCTGTCTCAGAACCCTCAAAGTACTTCCAATCTAAGAAAAGCTCTGACAAAAATTAAATACATCAAGGATGGAGGTTAAGCATGTATCTAAATGCACATTTAGCTACAGACCGTGTCTGTTTGGTGCAGAGGCTGTAGCTGTCTTTGATCCTTTGGGAGAATCTGGCTGGGAAAGTTAAGAATCAATTCCCAAAGCAGCATAAAGTACGCACCACTCGGCCTCTCCGCTGCTCACATGCATGGGTTAAAACAGGCTAAAGTAACAATGCTTTGACCACAATCAGACTCATACATGTGCCCCTCAGATGAGCCGTGGCTTCTGGGTCAGTCTGAACCTGCCGCCTATAGGGCAGAACTGATAGGTGGTTCTGACCTTGGTGACAAAGCAGAGGTTGGGCCTCTCAGCTCCTCTGGGTGAAGAGGAAGCGAGAGGAAGCAGGAGGAAGCAGGCACATGCTTGCTACTGGTGGTAGAGGCAGGCATAGTGAGTTAGCCTCCAGCAGCAGGTCCTTTGTTCTTTGCAGGGGAGCCTGGCATTCGAGGTTTGCCTGGAGCTGTGGGTGAACCCGGAGCCAGAGGCGCAGTGGGTAAGTGTCCCACAGTCTGAGCTGAGCACCCCTCCAGGGACGCTCTAACTCCAGATTACTGGGAATTTCTCATTGTTCTGGAATAGGCATTGCCTTTCTTCCCTGGGTACTTCCTCTCTACCAAGGACTTAGAAGGTTTGAGGTTCCCTGGAATCCCCAGTAGTCCATCTCAGGGATAGCTTCAAAGCCAGATTCAGGCCACTGCCCTTTGACTAGCCATTACTGAGGTGCCTATATCTAGACAGGGAAGCTCCAAGGAACCTGGCCTCAGCCTTGAGTTCCACAGAAGCTCACTCCCCCCACCTCCCCACAATGGGGATATGACATTTTCACAACCATTCACTGACTAAGCATTAGTAAGTGCTTACTGTATGCAGGACTTCATCCCTGCAAGTTACAAAGCTTGTGAGTGGTGACAGGCTCCAAGAGCAAGGATACAATCTAAAAAGAGATAATTTACAGCCCGGAGGACAGAAAGAAGCAAGGGCATTTCAGGTGTTCCTTAAAACTTAGAAAGTGTTCAGTCATGGCCGGTTTGGAAACCTGTCCATGCATAGGTGCCAATGGTATGGCTGACGAAGCAAGTCCTAGGGGATCCCACCTTGAAAGGAGGTTAGGAATATGCTGAGGGGAGAGGTGACAGGAACCTGAAGGACCTTCATTTGTGGGTCCTCAGGTGAATGAGGTAGACACAGTTCTCGTAGTGCACTGGCGACAGTGTCCTGGACCATTCCCAGCAGGGAAATGCACCTCAGGAGAAGCTGCAAGGAGACTGTTGGGGAGTGTCACAAAGACAAGGCTCCTGAGTTTGGCAGCCATGGGGAGAGCTGCAAGTGCCTTCCACCTAGGAGACCATGTGCTCCAGGCCTCCTGGGACAGGAGAGAGAACTGAACAGACTTTACTATTCTGCTTTACCAGGTCCCGCTGGCCCTGATGGACAGCAAGGTTCCAGAGGTTAGTCACCACGTTGTGGTCTTCATGGTCACCAGCTGCCCTTGTCTGCCCCTCCCTGTCCTTCCTATGCACCTGGGCCCTCCATTCTAATGACAAAGGGACATGGAGCAGTCTTGGTCACCATGCTTTCTCCTGCCCATCTGCTAGCAAGCCACTGAGGAAAACCCACGGGCTCTGAGGCACTTTCCCAAGGGAGAGCTAGTCCCATATTTTATGTTCTTTGCAGGTGAGCAAGGCCTGACAGGGATGCCTGGAACCCGGGGACCCCCAGGACCCGCTGGAGACCCAGGAAAGCCAGGTAACGAGACAGGAAATTGTTGCAGGAAATATTTAGAAAGTCGGCAAGTTCCCATGCTATACCCAGCTACTCTCTGCCCAGTGGTCTCGCCGCCTCTTGGCTAGCCGTAGTTGGCAGTCTTCCTTCTCCGGTTCATCTCCCTTAGAACCGCCTGTACCTTCTCAGCCATCCACCCACTAAGGTCGGCGGTCACAAATCCCCTTAACCCAGTAAATCAAATCTCTTGAAACTTATAATTAGTCAGATTTATATATTAATAAATTCTCAATTTACAAGATGCCCACACAATCATTTCATAGCCAGTTGATAATGATACAAGCTGCACACGTAGATTAGACAAGTTATCCCAATTATCCTATCTCTTATGATAGTCATAGCTGCCTGTGGCTATTTAAAGCCACAGGAATCTGGATCGTCTTCCTCTTGCTCCATCTTCCGTCTCCTCTGTCTCTGTCTCTGAAACTCCTAGCTCCGCCTCCCCTTTCCCTGTCCAATCACTGGCTTCTTTTTGTTGTTGTTGTTTTTGTTTTGTTTGTTTGTTTTTCGAGACTGGGTTTCTCTGTGTAGCCCTGGCTGTCCTGGAACTCACTCTGTAGACCAGGCTAGCCTCGAACTCTTGAACTCAGAAATCCGCCTGCCTCTGCCTCCCAAGTGCTGGGATTAAAGGCGTGCGCCACCACCGCCCGGCATCAATCACTGGCTTCTTGTTGTATTGATTGGACAGGAAAATGGACACACCGTGTTCTACGTGTGTGCTCAGGGATGTTCTGGTGTGTACGAACACAAGAAAGTGGTAGACACACAAATGCTGCATTGCATGTGCGTTAGCCTTATCCTGTGGCCCTCAGCAGCTCAATACAGAACTCTAATCACAAGTTAACATTTCAAAAAGAGGGATTTAACAGATGAAAGTAAGCAAGGAGTTCTGGACAGGAGTGTGAGTGATCTTCAAGATGTAGACTTGACCTCAAGCTCAGTGTCTTGCCTGCCTCCCCTCCTGGGGCTACACCCAGGCCTCCACCAGTACCTACTGGTCAGAGAGGAGAGGCCTTGTTAGCATCTCCACCGAGGGCCAAACAAAAACAGGATTCTCAGTTCTGTGGGAAAAACTAGTCAAAACCAGATATGGTGACCATGCACCCAGGAACCTGGACTCCTCTGCTGGTGTTAGGTGAAGTTTAACAGAGGGGGTGATGGCAGCATTTGGCATCTTGTGTATATGTGTGTGTCGGGGTGGGGAGGGGGGTGCTTTCTGGATTCCTGGTTCTTTTATATTCCTGATGCATCTCTGAACTCAAATGGGCTCAAGGCCATCGCCCAGTGGAGCATCGGAACATTTCACGACAAAGCTCACAGAATTGCTCTCTGCTCAGAGATGGGAGGACTCTGGGTCAGACCACTGTGAGGCATATCCTCCTGTAGCCTCTGAGCCCTTTACTGCCATGCCCACCGGCTCTGTGTGCAAGGTTGTGTTGTGGCTCCTTGGAGCAGTCCTTAACTTTTCAACTCTTGGCCCTGTGTCTTCTTTTCTGCAGGTCTCACAGGACCCCAAGGACCTCAGGGTGAGTCATCCAGTCCCTCCCAACTGCCATCTCCTGCCAGGCCAGGTGCTATGGCCAGTGCCTCTCTAGTTACATGAGCCTGTCCTTCCCTTGTCCATCTCCAGTGAGTGCTGAGAAGCACCATAAAGGGAACCACCCCCCCACACACACATAGAGCGAGAATAATGTAGGTAACACTCTGATATCAGTGATGTCAGATTCTGTTTGCACCATGCTCTCTGTCTCTGATGCAGGAACACTCAGTTGTTGGCTAGGGATTCTCTTAGCCAGCTGATGTGGATTCCCCTGTGGCATGAAGGGAGTGTGTACTCCCCTGCACGAACGCCACTGGCTCCCAGGGGTCCCTCTGGGATGGTGGCTTCATTAAAGCCCATCAATAAAACCTATTCGGGCTTAGAAATCTTCACCACGCCCAGCCCCTCACTTTCTCTAGTCAGACAAAGATAGTGAAACCAAGGCCAGACTATGCAAAGGCCAACAACTGCTGCTAGACACGGCAGGCCCCACAGCAGTCAACAGGGAGGACAGTGACAGCTTTGTAACCCAGGGTGACAGGAATCCCCCAGATGCTCTCTCTGCCTCAACCCAACCCTGCTGGGCTGCCATGTCTCAGAGACAGCCAGGGTTCATGCCACAGGGTTCTGGATGAGAGCTCTACTCTACACCAGGTGATTTCAGGCAAGACCTGAGTGGATCCTGCTGCTTCTGTCAGGCAGCCAGCCAGTGTGGCCACGCTGAATGGCAGAGCGCTGGCTGGTTACTGCCAGAGGGAAGAGAGGGAGGGCAGATATCCAGAACTGTGGGGCCTTAATCATCCTGACTGACTGTGTTTAATCACATCAGGACTTCCTGGTAGCCCTGGCCGACCAGGGACTAAAGGTACGTGATTTCTCCCAAGAAGGTATTTTCTTTTTTTCTTCTCACCAGCCATTTTTACAGCCGGGAGGGGTTGGCAGGCGGGAAGTCTGCTCTGACCAGAGCTTGGACCAACAGTGGCATCTAGTGGCTCCAAAGGAAGGCTGAGAGGTGGGAGCACTGAGACCTGAGTCCTCAGGCCCCACTTGCTCTAGGCTCAACCCAGGGCTCATCTTCACATCCCCAGGTCCTTGTGGCAGAAAGATAGGAAAGGAAGTTTGCTTGTCTCTCAAGCTCTCCAAGCCTTTGTTTGCCTTTAAAATGTCTACATTGTCTCTAAAATACTCCTGTCACCAAAGCTGAAGACAGCAGAGATGAAGAAAGAGCTGTCTATAGGAAGGGAGGGGTGTTTTAACCCCGCTAAGGGGCAAGTCAAAGGACTACAGGGACAATGCCACACAGGTACAGAGTTCAGTTCTAGTTCAATCCTGCCTATCAGACCCCACCCCGAGCAAACCTAGGAATACAGAGTACTCAGGGACACATACTCTTTTCTGTCCTGTGTCATGTTCCTCAGCCTTGGCACTCTGACCATTACAAACACCCCCAAGTGGAACCCTAGGAAGAAAAGGTTTTAAAAACTATTATTTCTAACGAGCAGTTCAGCCAAAAAGATCTTTGAGGAAACATGAGCACAGCTGTAAAATATGACAGCCTACTTCCGACTTCCCAGGCCAGTAGATCTCTGGTGGCTTCAGTAAGGCCTCGGGGTTAGGGATACCACAACGTATTCCTGGGGACCTCAGGCTCTCCTGAAGGAGATGCACTACAGGTTATCACTTGTTAGAGTGTATTCTCACAGAGCGTTCTCCTGCCTTGGCCTTGGTCCCCTGCTGTGGGAACGCGAGCAAAGCCTACCCTTCCGCTCTCCCTGAGAGGAAACTAAAGCCACTCCTTCCACTGTGGGGCTTAGCATAATTGTTCACACACCTCAGGGTCCAGGGAAGGATCCTGGGCAATGGAGCTTCTTTGTTTAGTTCTGAGAGTAGCGCTCAAGTGTGCTAGTCGGTCTCTCTCACTGAGCCTGGCTCCCGGCTCCAGGATCCACGCCATTCTCTACTCCTTTACTGGCCCCAAGCCCATCCACCCACAGGTTGTTAGTCAAGAGGTACTGGAGTGGTGGAAATGTTGGGGGACATACGAACCCTGTGTCCTCTTCCTGGGAGCCCTTCACTCACATTCATTTTTGTCCCTCAAGACCAACGGCACAGAAGAGCCGTGACCTCCGAATTGCCCAGACTTGCCAATTGCCAAAACCCTTTTCATGGTGTCCTGTCCTGTCACTCAGGGAATCCATGCATGGGATCGTGACTTTTATTTACCTTTTGATCTTCAGCTAATTTCCCTGCTTATGGCCATTACAGGAAGAAAAAATGGGGTGGGGACTGAGCGTAAGTCTCAGGTTTGCCTCGGTTCTGGCCTCATGGAATGGCAAAACAGCCTCCCAGGAGAGCCCTTCTCTGAGAGATGACTGACTCTGGGCCTTGGGTCTAAGTTGAGAGGGAAATGCTCAGTGTAGCGTAGGTGCCCTTCATTATTCAAATCCTATTAGCTTGAGGGCAAGAGGACCACAGATGACCCTCAAATGCAACCAGAGGCTCTGAAAATGATTCATCAAGCCACCGATTAATCCTCTTGCCGACTCCCCTTGTCCTCCCCAGGTGAACCTGGCGCTCCTGGCAGAGTCATGACTTCAGGTAGGCAGCCTAGGAGGGTTCCTCCCTGAGTTCTACTTGCCTGTCCTATGTAGGCCATCTGCCTCAGTGTCAGCGGGTAGCAGTGCTTCGGGAGGGATGAGGGTGAGCACAGACCACCATGTTGTGGCTTCTTAACCAGTAGGTCAGCACAGGGAAGGAAGGATGTCAGAGGGATGAGAAGCAGAGGCTCCTGTCTTGCTGGCCTGCAGCCTCCTGGGGTCCTAGCACCTCTGAAGGCGACATGTTCTATGTTTCTTCTGTTTCCAGAGGGATCATCGACAATCACTGTGCCCGGACCTCCCGGACCTCCTGGTGCCATGGGACCCCCGGGACCTCCAGGGACTCCAGGTCAGTCTGCTTCTCTTGCTCTGCCCCAAATCAGCAGCAGGCTGTGGATACAACAGATTCTAGGCACATCTGTTCAAATCATGCCACTGAGGGCAGGAATTATGGAGAGAGAGACAGCCCGTGCTCATAAGGAAAGAGCCTGATGCTACCCTCAGCATTTGTAGATGAGAAGCTGACACCCAGAGTGGGTAAATTACTCGTCTAAAGTCACACAGCTGGCAAGGGGCAGGAGAAGGTTTCCATCCAGACTGTTCTGTCTCCAGAGCCGGAACAGTCAGAATAAAGGCTCCTGAACTCTGTTTCTTAGAAAAATAATACAACAGGTGTCTGAGGCAACCCAAATGCAGTGCTCCGTGAGGCGGAAATGCCGCCATGATTACAGAACTATGTAGCAAAGCTCTAGGGAGGTAAAAGAACCCCACCGTCAGGAGTATGTGTAAGCTCTGTGGGTACAGCTGCCTTCTCACAAAATGGAAACAAAAGCCAAAAAACACTGCTGAACCACAACAAAGCAAAATGCTTACATGTTAAAGAATTGTGTCCCCCCGCCTTATTTTTCCAAAATGCCTGTTATCTTGTTTTATGTTTTAATTATTTAAAATATTTATATTCAAATTAACTACATGATTTATACCCAATGCAAGTGTGCCCCACTCCTATGTAAGTAAGCTCCAGTGAGTAGTGGATATTTAAGTGACCTAGATGTCCCCAGCCAGTAAAGAAAGTGTCAAAAGAGACAGCCCTGCCCACCTCAGTCTTATAGACTGGCCTCTGGTTGCTATTCCATTCTGGGAGAATTCCTGTGTCCCCAGGTACCTGCCCCTTCCTCAGCTTTGGAGGAGGGGATATGATTTAACCTTTTCTATAACTGTTTGCAGGTCCGGCTGGCCCTGCTGGTCTCCCAGGACAACAAGGTATGTCTCACTCTGTAAAATCACAGGCTGTGGACTGGGTGAGGATGGGGTGGGATGGGGGTGTGGTTCTACATGGGATTTTTAAGTCCCTGAATTATAGATAAAGAGTGGGGGAAGAAATACCAGGGCCTCCTGGACTCTCCACAATGGGCCTCTCTTCACCACGGGCCTTGCAAAGCCTCCACCTTCTCTCATCTCTCCCCATATTTCTGAGAGGGTCGGGGCTCCTCAGGACAGGAGGCTCTGTAGTGTTCTGGTCAAGGTTAAGCAGACCATTTTCACAGGCCTTGGGCTTCAGATGACCAGACTCTGATAATAACATTACTGTCCAGTGACTTGTCAAGATAACAGTGGAAGACAGAAGCAGCCGCCATTGTTGCCCTGGCCCTGCTTTCTTCCCCCTTATCTGTCTTTCCTCCTTCAGCTGAAATGCAGCCTCTCTTCTCTAGGGCCCGCCCTTCCTTGCCACATCCTCCCTCAACTAGGCCCCGCCCAGAATCTGGACCCGCCCCACAGAACTCTGCTGACGCAGTGTGCACACTAACTCTGTGTCTTCCCCACAGGCCCACGAGGGGAGCCAGGACTTGCTGGTGATTCATTCATAAGCAGTGGCAGCTCCATCTCCGAGGTCCTCTCTGCTCGTGAGTGCAGGCATGCCATCTGTGGCTCAACAGATGGGGACAACAGGCTGGGGAGGGAATGGAAGAGATGACAGTGTTGTCAGGGCCCAGGGAAAGCTGCACCAGTGAGTCACTGCAAAGTATGACATCAGAATAGCCATGTTCTCTGCTCTTCAGTGGGAGCTGGGTAAGAACAACAGAGAATGTTTTGTGTGAGAGGCACAGCCACAAGAACAAGACAGCTGACAGGCTGTGACCCTCCAGTAGGACCTGGGTCAGATCAGATGTTGGGAGTAAGTGTGATTGGCAGAAGTCACACAAACCTAACTCAGAAAGCAAGGATGGGTGTTCTTGGATTCTCAGTCACAGGAGGTCTGACTCTTGTTACCTCCTGTCCACAAAGAGCCCAAGGGGGACCACAGCGGGGCCTCCCACCTGAATGCCTTGACTGTTGAGCAGTAAAGATGGCAGCCAACCCCAGCCGTGTGAAGCCAGGGCATTAGAGTTTCAGCACTTGGTGGCATCTTGCTGGGTCTGAGCCATCTCAGCATCCCTATATGATGGAAGAAAGATTGAGAGAGGGTGAAAAGTTGCCTAAAGTTGCCAGCTAGGTAGGCAGAAGTGAGGATTGAACACTGGCTGGCTGACACAGAAAAGCCTAAATTCTTACCCACCACTCCACACTGTCAGTTGTCAGTCCTGCTGTGCTTCAGAATGGTGGCATCTCAACAGATGGGGACCTACGGGGCTGTCGTGCAATTGGGGCTTGGGCTGCAGCCCAGAGACTAGCCATCTTGGTCAAAGATTAGGAGCATGGTAAAGACCTGGCCACAGCCTTCTCTGTTTCTATTTGCTTCTCTCCACAGAAGGTGTTGACTTACGAGGTCCCCCTGGCCCACCTGGCCCACGAGGGCCACCAGGTAAGAACTCACTGATCTTTGAAAAGTGGGGAGTCATGAGTCCTGTCATGAGGGAAACTCTGACCTCAGGAGTCAATCAGCCCCATAAGGCCGGCACTTTCTCTTCCTTCTGCAGGGCCTTCCATCCCAGGCCCACCAGGACCCAGAGGCCCTCCAGGTGAGGGCTAAACTCCTTGCTAGGATGGGATAAGGACAGGGGAGGTGGGAGACATGGACAGCCAGAGCCCAGGTCCTTCTGGGCTGGCTCTCAGGAAGAGCATCCCTGGCTTGTCCCCTGGTGAAGCTCTTCCCTTACCTGTGAGCATGACTGAATCCTGGGCTTCTTTTTCCTAGGGGAAGGCGCGCCAGGCCCACCTGGCCCACCAGGATCCTTCCTCACTGACTCAGGTAACATCAGGGGGCATCCAGTCCTCAGACCTAGCCTGATTGTGGTCCCCCACCCTCTGCATTGATCTTTTCTGAGGGGAGTGTGAATACAGAATCCCCTTGCTACCTGCTGCTTGTGGGGAAAATATTTGAGCCAACCCAACTACACTGGGAACCTGGCTGGAAGAAAGAGAGCCAGCTCTGTCCTTGGGGAGTGACCAAGAGGCCTGGTCACTGTACTTAGGGATCTGATGAAGCAGGAAGGATGCAGGCACACAAATAGGGTAACAACGTTAACAAAGAAAAGGGTGGAAAAGAAAGAGCAAGCGTCTTGGGGCCAGAGCTCGTCCCCCGTGGAAGATCCATGCACCCATTCACGCACCCACCCACCCACCATCTGCATAGTCACCTTTCCATTTATTTACACGCCCAATCCTGAGGGTGCAGACATCCCCACACACATCCTTACAGTGTCACCCGCACGGCTGAGCATCTGCAGTGCACCCGGTTCTGTGCTAGCTGCTGCTTCCCCAGAAACAGCACTTTACCCACACCATCACCGTCTCCTTCCTTGCAGAAACCTTCTTCACGGGACCCCCAGGTCCACCTGGCCCCCCAGGTCCCAAGGGAGACCAAGGTAAGAGCAGTGTCTTGGGGGATCTCAGATGCCAGTGTGGTGTGTCCCCTGCCCACCTGCCTGGTGGCCAAAGAATGTGGAGGAGGCTGCTCAGGCAGGAGCACTTGATCCTCCTAGCACAGCCCACGAGCAGCCTGCTGCGTGGGGTGGGTGGGAGCCGGAGGGAGGGTGGTCAGGGACTCTGCCAACAGTGTCCATCTGACTGTGTAGAGTGAGATGCCCTGGGTTCTATTTGGAGCCCCCATGCCCTCTCACAGTGGGCAGTGGAAATGACAGTAGCTACTGGGAGGTGTCCTTGTGCAAGGCCTTCCAGGACTCAGGGGACATCAGGGTACATCAAACACAACCTGGGGTAGGGGGTGAGGTAGTAAGAGCTGACCCCCAAGAACTCTGAGCTTGTTCAAAGTGCATTTGGTTCACACACGTAGAGCAAAGAGTGACTGTGGCAAGCTAAGTATGCGTACAAGCCTCAGTGTGCGAGTGTGTGTGTGTGTGTGTGTGTGTGTGTGTGTGTGTGTGTGTGTGTGGTGTCTGCTCCAAGAGGGAAGCAGGCCCAGCAATTGTGGATCTTAAGAAGCCTCCCCAAAGAGAGATATGGTATCTTTGCAAGCAAGACTCTAGACATGGAATGACTGAACTAAGGGTGCTGAACTTCACTCGGGAGCTGCCCAGAGAAAGAGGTACACACAACACAGGGTTTCTCACTTTGGATTGCAGGTGATCCTGGTGTCCCAGGCACTCCTGGCATCTCTGGTGGTCTTTCTCACGGTAAGAACTAAAGGAGACCAAAGTTCCTCTCCCATCCTCCGAGGGAGCCTGCTGGTTCCAAGGCGAATGGAGCTCCTTCCGGCTCTCCTCGGCTCTGATTTGCATATTAACTCTATAGCTCCTCATAGGGTCCACAAGAGCTACCTTTAAGGAAGCCACAAACTTGTGGGGATGGAAAGGCAAATCCAATGTCAGCCAATTGTGCTTGGGGACCAAAGAAGAGACTGGAGCAGGCCCTGGGAGCTCCAGGGTCCTGAGAGAAGGGAGGCTGAGGTGGGAGGCAGGACATCTGGCCTGGCCAGCACCCATCTCTGCCCTTCTGCTTGCCACTGTCCTAGTTCCTCTAAGGACAAAGCCTCAGAGCAGGTGGGGACACAAAGTGCTGGGCTGCCCTAGAGTGAAGGAGCCGAGTCAGGAGACTTTCTCTTCCCTCCAGGGGCATCATCAAGCACTATGTACACGCAGGGCCCACCTGGCCCTCCAGGGCCGCCTGGGCCTCCGGGTTCTCTCAGCAGCTCCGGACAGGATATCCAACGCTACATCGCAGAGTACATGCAAAGTGAGTGCTTCGCCACCCCACACCTTGGAAAGGAGGCTGAGGGAGATGGAAAAGGAGTGTTGGGGTGGTCATCATCTATGTGAAGGCTTCCTTCTACCTATGAAGCCTGGCCTGCAGTCAGAGAGCTGACCAACATACCTGTCCATACATATGCCTCATCTTCATCCTACCTGAAGTCCATATGCATGCACATATATGAGCACATATATGCACACGGACACATCTTCAAATGTGTTCACGCCCCTCCCACCCCTGTGTATAGGTGATGTGTCAAACGGAAGGCTCATTGGAGCCTTGTCAGTCCATACCCTCACGGACAGCACAGGTCTTAGGCTCAGGCACTGTGTGGACCAGGGCAGGTTCTCTCTCCTCCTGCTGGGACTATAGGGAAGTCAGATGCTCTCGGCAGCAGGCTTGACCACTTCATCCCTTGTTGGCAGATGACAACATCAGGACTTATCTCTCAGGAGTTCAGGGTCCCCCGGGCCCACCAGGTCCTCCAGGGCCCGTCATCACCATTACAGGAGAGACTTTCGACTACTCCCAGCTGGCAAGCCAGGTCGTGAGCTACTTGCGGTGTAAGTCTGTGACACTTCTTGTGCTCTGTTGTCCTTAATGAATGCCCCTCATTTCCCGAAGCTCATCACTTAATTCACAGATTGTCCCACCCTTCTGAATATATAACCTTCAATTCTACGCTCCTCGTGGCTGGGATACAGTGCCCAGCCTCAGCAGACCCTGGGTCCGACTGGGACGGAGATATGATAGGGGCAGGCATGCAAAGCATTTGACCAGCTTGTACCCAAGTATGGGCCCCATCTCTGTTCACAAAAAGGGACCCTCAGCTTGGTGGTGTCCACCAGGAGTCAGGCTAAAAGCACATTCTAGAACACGGCACTCCGTATGAAAAGCCAACTTCTATTTCTGGCCTCTTCTGACCTTCTGATTAGCCTGAAATACTCCATTCGTTCATTTCGCTCAAAGACAAGGACTAGCTGACTTGACCTTCCAAGTCTGGATGCAGAGGATCTGCTCCAAGACCAAGGAGGTCAGCCAAGGTCTTCCTCCCACAGCGTCAGGCTATGGTGTTGGCTTGTCCTCTGCCTCCTCCTCAGAAGATATCTTGGCCATGCTGCGACGTGAGTATCCCACAGTGAGCAAAGAGTAGGGCATTTCCGCTCTTTCCCGTCCTCACTTGGAGGGCACCTGTCCCCGGGCGAGCTTTGTAAGGGTGGCAAGCAAGACGAAGTCCTCTGAGACAAGGAGCCGCTCACTCACTGTTCTGCCTTGTGTGCTCAGTCACAAATGCATCGAAAATGGGAGAGGGAATCTCCCAGCTTCCTCCACTACAGGCCTACTTCCCCCTGACCAGTGAGTGCCCACCAAGAACCAGAAATTCCCAGCTGTTATTGGGAACCAGGCTGGGCAAGTAGACCCAACTGGGCTTCTAGGTTGATCCATAAGGCATCTTCTCCTTCCCAGGGAATGACGTGTGGCAGTACCTACGTCAGCATCTGGTGGGTCCTCCGGGTCCTCCAGGGCCACCAGGAGTCAGTGGAGATGGGTCCCTCCTGTCTTTGGACTATGCAGAGCTGAGCAGACACATTCTCAACTATATGTCAAGTGAGTGATCAGGAGGGCATGGAGTGAGGACGAGGGCATCCAACCCCACTGAGATGGGCCCACTGGCCACCCCCACCCATGCTCACCAGCTGCACTGACCCCTGCAGAGGCAGTAGTCTCCAGAGCTGCTCAGAGAAAGAGCAAGCCTGAGAGCACAGCAAAAGCAGCCCAGAGGAGCACACGGGTATGCGCATGCGTGAATGGGTACTCTGCACCCCGCAGCCGGCAGCCGACCTGTGCTCTGCCCAGTGCTCTCCCCATTGGGTGCCACTGCCCACACTACTTTTGCATCACGCTCCTCTCTATCTTCCTTCCTACCCCCGTTCTTTCCCTTCCTCAGACCGCACTTTATCCAAATCGCTATCTACCCTCCTCCCTGACCGACCCTGAGTCTCCAACGACTTGGGACCTTGTTCCCTAGGTTCTGGGATCAGCTTCGGGCATCCTGGCCCACCGGGGCCCCCTGGCCTGCCAGGAACATCCTATGAGGAGCTACTGACCATGCTCCGAGGTAAGGCCAAGCAGGAACATCCATCAAAAGGTTTGGGATGGAAACCGAAACCCTGGCTCAGGCTGTGACTGACTACTTACTGCCACTGATGTCCCCAGGGTCTGACTACAGAGACATCATTGGACCTCCAGGGCCCCCAGGGCCGCCCGGGATGCCAGGCAGTGCATGGTCCAGCATCAGTGTGGAGGACCTCTCCTCATACTTGAACAGTAGGACACTAGAGAGCAGAAGAGAAGGGCCAAGGGCTGCAGCCTGACTTTGAGGGCATCCCCAGTCCTCTCTAGAGCTGCCATGAGAACTGAATCAATGTGTCATTTCCCCAATGGAGCATGCACCAGGAGGGCCCTTGGGCCCTGGACGGGGCCACATGGCTGTGAGAAGCCATGAGCCTTGGCAGGGGAAGAAATAGGAAGACACAAAGCTCCTAACTGTAGCCTTTGCCGAGCTCATGAGCCATGTGCTCAGTCACTTGACAAGGACATAATGTATTAGCTGGCATTACGTTCTAAAGCCTGGTGATGAAGGTCTAGGAGAACACAGGATGTGGGATGAGATGTGGGACTACCCCTTGGAAGGAGCCATTCCCAGATGACACCTAGGCCTCATGATGGGACCACCTAGGCCTCACCCACTCTCCTCTATCCCACCATCCACCCCCCATCCCTTGCACCCAACCCATGGGGAACGTACAGTAGGCCAAGGCCAGGCTGAGAATCTAGCCTTTGCTACCCAGGATTCTGACCTCACTTTCCCTCCCCTCACACAGCTGCTGGCCTGTCCTCCATCCCAGGCCCTCCAGGCCCACCAGGGCCCCCAGGTCCTCGAGGGCCCCCGGGTGTCTCAGCAGCTCTGTCCGCCTACGCAGCTGAAAACAGCGACAACTTCCGCAGCGAGCTGATTAGCTACCTCACAAGTAGGTACCTCCATGTCGGTCTCCTGCGCCCTCCCCCAGACCTTCACGACTCGTGTGCAGTAGGCACAAGATGGTCAGCAGTCTGGACAAATCAGTTTCTTTGCTCACCAGCATCCTTCTGTACAAGGGCCTCAAAGTTCACCCCAATGGGTGTTAAAACTCCAGAGACGCTAGCTCTCAATTCTTTTGTCCACCACAATCTGGGTTAACGCATCTTCCTACCCCACAGGTCCTGATGTCCGCAGCTTCATCGTTGGCCCACCAGGTCCTCCGGGGCCACAGGGACCACCTGGAGATGGTCACTTAAGGGAGAACTACAACTGGGGTAGCAGCTCCTCAGCCAGAAGGGGAACTTCCTACAGCTCTTCCATGGGCATAGGGGGAACCAATGGCGGCTCCATGGGCGAAGGTGGAACCTATGGGGCAGGAGATGGGGGTCCCTACGGCACTGACATCAGCCCAGGCGGAGGCTATGGGGCAGCTGCAGGTGGTGGCATGTACGGTACCAATGGTGAATCGCTCCGGGCTGGCTTCACTGGAGACCTAGATTACAACAAGCTGGCACTGCGGGTGTCGGAGAGCATGCAGCGTAAGTCGGAACCCGTGGACCTCAGAAGGGAAGGGGCATGTGTGTACCTCAGCATCTAGGCTTTGCAGACAGGCCCTCACTTTTTATGTCTCGGACTGTGTTGATAGCAGCAGCTCTGGAATCAGATGGGCAGGGACTGAAAGAGAGGAGATCCCAATCTAATTCTACACCATCTCAGTGCAAGGGATCCCCCAGTGCTGACACCTGAGCTGTGGAGAACAGGGCACATAGCAAAGGGCGTGGTACTTTGCTCAGAACAAGTCTGACAGGAGCAGCTTTCTGACAGGGCTTTGTGGAAGTTGTTAGCCAAGAGGTCCTTTCTCCCTTTAGCTCTCAGCACATCACGTAGTCCAATGTCCCTGAGGACTATCACAACAGGTCAGACCAGTCTGATGAACAGACAAGCTGCAGGGCTTCTTCCTCAGGGTGGTTTCCTCTGGTTTAGCTGCTTTGAGTGAGGCAGTCTGAGGATACTGCCCTTCTGCTGACACTAGTGAAGTGGTACCTTGCTTCCTACACTGACACCCCGGTATTCTGCAGGTCAGGGTCTGCTACAAGGGATGGCCTACACTGTCCAAGGCCCACCAGGGCCCCAAGGCCCACCTGGCATCAGTAGGGTCTTCTCTGCCTACAGCAACGTGACACAAGACCTCATGGACTTCTTCCGAAGTAAGCATATCGCCATTGCTTTCCCAGCACTGGGCTGCTGCTTAGTCTCACGTGGGGCCTGACATACAAATACCAACTTGATAATCTTCTCCTTGTAGCTTAGATGCCAACACCAGTGAAGCCTAGTTCTGGTTCCACGTACAAGTCCAGATGCCACCACTATGTTGCTCTGAACAAACCCTTGACCTCCCAAGCCTCAGGCAAACTCTAGTCTAAAGCTACACTCTTTCCTTCCTTGCAGCATACGGCACTATCCCAGGACCACCTGGGCAGAAGGGAGATGTGGGAACCCCAGGACCCAAAGGTGAGTGACATCAGAGATCACAGGATCAGTTGTTAGCTACCTCTTACTGAGGAATACTTTTGCCTTGCCACACTGTGCCATGCCTTCGACTCTATTCTCACGCTGGTGTCATACCCTCTCTGACTTCTAGGTGACAGGGGCCCTGCTGGACCACGAGGTCCTCCTGGGCCACCCGGCCCCCGAGGGAACAAAGGAGAGAAAGGAGACAAAGGTAAGCACTGGTGTGTGACTTCTGAGGTTCTGAGGTTTAGCAGGGAAGAGGTCATTTGATTCTGGGCTAGCCTGAGAAAATCAAGCAAAAACTAATACAGAAAATGGTATTGCACAGCTGGGGAAAAGGGAAAAGGGGAAAAGGGAAAAGGGAAGACCAGAGGGAGATAACTTGAAGGGGAAAATAAAATAGTTTTACAAAGGATTGATCTTTCAAGCCAACTTTTAGCAATCATTGTTGCTGTCACCGGCCCTATTAAGGACATAGGCCACGAGGTATTTAACCCCTACTCATCTTTGAACTTTCAGGTGACCAGATCTACACTGGGAGGAGGAAGAGAAGTATCGCTGTCAAGCCATAAGCTGCACTTGGCAGAGCTACCAAGTTCCTGGACCAGTTCTTGGGCGCCTATGTCCATGGGTCCCCATCCTGCTGAGACCACGTCAGCCAGCAACACTTGTTTTAGTCTGAATGAAATATATACATACAGAAAATTCAAAGACACGCAATCTGAAAGAGCTGCGTTGGTTGGGTGGGCCTTTGGAATAGCTGCAATGTTTAATATGAGACTTAACTTCTCTGCTACGTAGATCTGAGCTCCCTGGCTTCTTTAGCTCAGGCCTCTGCCAGGCCTCAGAAGCCAGTTACATAACTGTTGGCTGGGGGATCTTGGAGCTTTGCCTAAAGAATGAGCCCAGAAAATGGAACATGGGAATGGGGGCCTTTGTAGGCGACATGTGATGGGTTATGTTACAAAGGCTGCTGTCAGCTCCTTCCTCCTTTGCTCACTCTGCATTGTCCAGTCACAGAAGTGACTCTTGCAACTGAAGGAGCTCAGAAGTTCACTTCCTCAAAGGAGGTGACATTTCAGACAGTTACCACGGTACAAATGCCAATCACCTTCCCACTGGCTTACAAAGCTTGACTGGTCGGAGCTATGGTCTGTGTCCACAGGTATGTGCCAGAAGTAACGATTAGGACACCACACTAGACCACAGCACTCAGGACAAGAGGGGCAGTGGGCAAGGGAGGGAGAAAAGGGGGGATATAGAATTCCCGATGCTGGGGAAACATGGCTTCCACGCTCCCATTCTACACGTAGGAAATGGCATAAAAGACTGGGTACAGTTGGTCTGTAAGCACTTTTCACTAAAAACATTTGTATGTAATCTGTAAGATGAAAAATCATTTCATTTCAAGTGTAAAATTTTCAATTAAAGTTTTTTTTCTTTTTTAATGTATGTTTAACCATGTGAGGAAGTTAAGTTTTAAAAAAAGAACCTGGGTTACATGAACTGTTTATCACAAATGGAAGAGATGGCTGGCTGTAGTTTAGACCTAGCCTTCAGCATTTGATCACTGAGATCTCTAAAGGCAGACTTTTAAAAGCTACTACCTCAACACACCAGACAAAGCACTTTGTTTTCTCTAAGTTCCTTGAAATCTAAACAGATATACAACAAATTAGCAAGCTTCTTTGCAATTAATATATAACTGGAAGCCAAGTATATAGATGAAGATGTCAGTCTACTAAGGAAAATGTACATGTATAACCAGAAGAGTCTGCACTTGGCAGTGGCAATTTGTTAATTTGTCACAAGCTGTGACTCTCAACTGAATAACTAAGCATAGATTAACGTAAACCCACTTCCACACCTCTGCTCTTCCAAGATTGGATTTACTTTCCTGCTCTCTCCTGAGTTCCTTACATATATATCATCCTAGAGAAAACACACAGTTTAGATCCAGTCCCACAAGCAGCTGCGAGCACCACCAATACATGAGCCAAGCATTAGAAGGCTGCATGGTCTTTCGGCTGCTATATCCCGATGGCTGCCCAAGGGAACCAACATAAGAATACTTGCAAATGAATTCATATGGACTTCACAATTTCAGATAACTTGCTTAACCACCCACAGGGCAAAGAACCCACTGTGTTTAATAATAAATCCAATGCATCTTTTAATTTTTAAAGAATGTATCAATTTCATAGTGGAAACCCTGTGAAACAGTACTTTTTACTTTGGAGCTCAATATTACTTATTAATGATTCCTATCTTGATTAAGCAGGCCTAGGAAATGCTCCCTTGTTACTAGACTTTACAAAGACATCATCTAAAAGTCTTCATAGAGTTGTACACTCAGAAGAAATGGGAGGAGAGTCCAACCGTGCTACCTTCTCCAGACAAAATCCAAAAAAAGGATGACAGACATGAGCCATGTCTTCAGCTGGAGACAGTGGATCTGAGCTCGTTTCATGGGGAGAGTGGGGAGTGACTGGGAACTGAGCTCAACAGCACAGAACACGCTGAGATTAGAAATGACATCAGTAGCTCCCTCCAGCCAAGCTGCACCCGGGCCAAGCACGGCATCTACTGAGTGGGGCTGCACATGTCAATGACAATAACAAGAGGGGTTTAGCATAGGATTTCTCATTGATTTGAAGCAAATAATCTATCCCAGGGAGAAGAAAAGGAAATGAAAGCACATACACACCTACGTGAAAACATAACCAACTTAAACATCACCCAAAGGAAGAGTTCACGTACTGGAAGGTACTTACCAGCAAGGAAAAAGTTACATTTGTCAGTAATGTGTGTGTGTGTGTGTGTGTGTGTGTGTGTGTGTGAGAGAGAGAGAGAGAGAGAGAGAGAGAGAGAGACAGAGAGACAGAGAGACAGAGAGACAGAGACGAGAGACAGAGAATGTGAATATGAGAATATATATCACAGATAGTTAAGATCAATGATAAACATGGAAGGTCAGAAGACTGGGAAGAAGAAAAGTTTAAAAACATAACTAGAACCAAAAAGGGAAAAAAAAAAGCTGCAAAGTGTCTCAGGCAGGACCATCTCATTTTTAGATTTTTAATTAAAAAAAAATGATTTCCCAAAATAGATTAAGAAATAGCTTTATTGTTTGACAATCCCATGATTGGAAAGGCATGTTTCTGATCCCAAATAGACAAGAAGCATAATGTGAAACAAAATTCTCTTTGAAAACTTAGCTTGTGAACTTATGATACTGCAAAGAATCACATTTTTAAGCTGCAGCCAACATTTGAAATTGGTAAAACACTCTACTCCAAGCTTTGTAGCAAAAATTTTAAAGCATTATTAAAACCATGTCAGCCAAAGAACAATACAAGCAGAGACATCAACTGTTGCCTCTGACTTAAGAGAAGCATTAAAAATAACCACCCCGCGTCCTACACAATCATCTCCCAGAGAGGACCAGAAGGCTCTCAGAGAGCTGGTGCTCTCTTCTTCCACTGCAGTTCTAGGTGTTTCATTCTGCAATGTTTCTAGCTATTAATTTGGCCGAGTTTGGCTTCTTAGAAGAGTCTTTGTCATTTAATAAGCACAGTGTAGAACTGGGGAAAGCATGAAGGGATGAGGGGCCTGGAAGAGTACAAAAAACAATCACTTCTGAGACGTGCTGATGCTCAAGAAATCAGAGAGCCTCCGGGAGGGTCTCATATGCCTGAGAGCGTGTGCTTGAGAAAACACTGCGTAGAGGTAGCTCTGGTTCTGCTTCCTACTTCGTTACACCTTGTCATGTCCTGTCATGTGAGAAGCTTCCAATATTCTCAGCAACCTAAAAACACTGCAAGTGTCCTCCTGACGCACAGAAAAAGTAAGAAAGAGCTTAATATGACTCCACCTAAATAAAACAACAGCGGATTCAGCAGCCCACAGCCAGACTCAACAGGTTAGGGAAGAAGCCCTGTACTAGGGCTCTAGGAGCTGGACCTGCAGAGGTGAGGGGGAGGTGTGGCGTGTCCACAGAATGCAGGGATGGGGAGGTGACTGTTGACAATTTCCTTTATGCACTGCATGGCACATTCTGCCACAGCAGCCGAGTGACCTAAGAGGAATGGACTCACTGTGTGGATGGATCCTTTGCCCCTCAGCCCCTCCCACCTATATGTCATGCAGAAAAGAACAATCACTATCATCTACTTTGTATAAGGCCTTAGAAGGAGTAGGCAGGTTGATTCTGTTACAAAACACTTCCTATGCATAACCTGAAATGCTGAGGTGAGTGTGTTCCAGTAACAGTCCCTGCACACACAGGAAGGCAGCCATGCTTGAAAGAAAACTCCAAGCAGGAGCAGGGAATCTAGAGGGCAGGCTCAGGGAGACAGCTTTTACCCTCCCTCCCAGATACAACGCTCTAAATGTCAAAGAACAGGAAGGGCACATATTCAGATCAAATCATGTCTGAATTACCTGAATGAAACCGAAAAGAAAATCTACTGACTAAAGAACTGATTTGTAAAAATTCAAAGGAGAAAGTGATATGAGAGCCTTCCTCCCCTCTCCCTCTTCAAATAAATCATTAAATACACTGGGCAACATAATACCATCTTTTATCATAACAATATAAACAATTTCCATCATCATCCTGAATATTACTTTATAAAGATATATATTTAAAGGCTTTCAAACAGTTTTCAACCCAGCATCTGAAAATAAAGCATTAAGAGTTCTGTATATAGTAACATTCATGTGATAAGTGTATGAATTTACAACCATACATTATATATATATATGTATATATATATTTATATAAAAAACAAAGTTGGCTGAAAGTTAAGGCTACCTACAAGGTTGTCCAGAAAAATTATGCTTGTCAAAATAATTATAAAATTAAAATTACATGCATTTTTAAATCAGATAAAACTCAGCATTCAAAGTTTCAAATGAACTGCAAGAAAGCACTACAGACATCTATAGTTTCTTACATGAACTGTTGTTCCCACATTGCACTGAGACTTCTACTTTTCACCAACCTCAAAATATAACTAAATACTGGTAACAATTTGGTACCCAGCACTCTTAGAACACATTGCCAATGGCAGGCAGTGGACATCATTCACAAACGTGCTGTTTATAACACTGCTGACCTGACATGTGGCTAAGATTCTGAACTTCAAAAGGAACTAAGAGTGAACATCTCATCAACAACAACCACATGATAGAGACTTCAGTCTTTTCCTACTCAAAGTAATTAATTTAAACATGGAACAAAATAAAACCAAAATGCACTTGAATAACCCCACTGGAAACAACCCAGTGTCACTCTGGGTGTGTGCCTGATATGAATGAAGCTCTGCTGTGGACCAGCGCTCCTTCTAGACTAGCTTCAGAATGGTAGCTGTGACTGTAGCTCAGGGCAGAGCCACCTACGTTCTCAGTGATGGCGGAACTTGCTGAGCTGTAGCTATCCCTCAGAGAGAAGAGGGGAGAACGCAACCAACTCACATCTTAAAGCTAGTTCTTCCATCTTTCCAACTTTGTACAACATTTGTTTTAGGATGTCATTTTCTATTGAATGGTAATATAAGCGTGTTTTTATAACTGTGATGTTCAGTGAGAGGGTACTTTGTTCCTATTGACCAAAGGAAAACCCCATTTTACACGTGTTTAAAATTTAGTGTTTTAGGCACTATCTTAATAAAATTAGCACCTTAATAATTAGCTCCAACCCACACAGGCTAATGTTTGTGACAAATTACTGAAATAACTTTTCATTTTTAAAGATTTGATCCTGGTTAGTGATAAAAATATATCTATGTACTGAATCAATAAAGTACTCTGTAACTCATGGCTTTTTTAAAATAAGAGTTGGTTTACCAAAAGAAAATTATTCCAATTCTACAGCAGAATCCTATCTATAGAATTTAGTATCATTGAGAGATCAGGCAAAACAATATTTATTAATACTTAGTGATGTAACAGATATATTTTCCAAATAACTTTAAACATTATGTCTCTGGCAGTTTTCAATAACAGTGTCTTAAGAACACACTATTTAAGGTCAATATACAAAAATCACCTTAGGGAATTACTGCAAGATGCTATGTTGCCAACATGGCCTAGCATCTATCTTAGTTCATTTGCCCTTCATCTTTGTTTAACAATAAAATCCAAGAAAGAAATTTTAAAAACCACCAAGAAGATGAAACAGGTGATTGTCTTTATAGTCAGTCATACATACTGTGGAAGATGAAGAGAATACAATGATGTACTTAGAAGCCAAATCCAGATGAGGATGCGTGCTGTTGCTACGACCCAGTGGAATGTAAGGTGGGAATAGGGTAGAATTTGGAGATCCGGCTCTGCGCTGATGGATTAAGACATTCGGACTCCCCAGTCATTTTAAAGAACACTTCCTGTTCCTGCAGTTTCCTGGCAAACTCTTCTTCCAGTGTCTTAAGAGGGAAAAGACAAACAATTATGGAC